ACCTAAAGGAATATTGATCTGACTTGGCGAGAGGCTTTATCAGATTGTTTTGTTTTATTTTGCATCCTAGTTCAGTTCCATAATATATGCAAAGCTGTGCTTATATAGCTTTTCTGAGATCGTCGGATCTACAGCATGTGGCACTCAAACAATACAAGTTGCAGAACTTGAGTCTTTTTTTTTTTTTTTTTAAATGGGAATACCATTTCTGAAGGAGCAGAATGTGACTAAAACAGTTAACACGAAAAGCTGTACTTACCACATGATAGTATAACATAGGAAAAATAACTTAATGGCAATACCAAAGATGGCCTTGTAAGGGAACTCATAAATGAATAAAAATAGAACTGCTTTAGAAAAATTTATCAAGCTATGCAAATGTTAAAGTGCAACAATCCCTCTTCCAGAAAAACGTTTACTACATATTATGAATAAAAACATATTCCAACCAGCCTAATGCTTAAACTAGCTAACAAACCTACTCAGTTTGCATGAAAACATTAACAAACAGCTATGTACAAAACTTGCCTATTTACTTCCAGCAGCTTTGCCACTGAAGAGGTTGCAACACTTCCTCACTGCACACGTGTCTCCTTTTCAACCTTTGTGACCTAAGGATTTATACTTTCAAAGTGGGATTAGCAAACGCACACACAAGCCTGGCTGCTTTTTATCATAGTAAGGTTATTCTAGCTGCAATAAATGCATTGAAACATATAGTGTAATTCATTGGTATACAATTAAGCGTACAACTTAATCTCTCCATAAGGCTTACAAATTGCCTATAATGCCTTTTAAGTGTATCTGCTTACAGCAGCGGACTCCTGTGAAATATGTACTAGCACTTGCCTTACCGTGGTAGAGACAGTGTTTTAAACATGCTTCGCACCTCCTAAACATTTGCTTGGGTTTAGTGGGGTTTTATAATGTTCGAAGAAATATAAATGAAGCAAACAAAAAAAAAAAAAGAAAAAGACACTTTTTAGATATGTTGGATTTCGTGACTTTCTGTGTTACTGTAAATAGATTCAAAATACAGAGTATACTTGTTCAACCATATCAGAATAGCAAAGCTTTGGCTGGGCCTCTCATACAATATATAAAAATACAGTCTGATGCAAGAGCTCTACTGGCAAGGGATGGCAGTATTACATAAAAGCTGTAAAATGCTCATCAGAAACGTCAAATGCCTTCACACCCTTACATTGTTTGTGTAAGGATCATTTATTAAGTTAAATAATTGCAAAGAACTGAAGTAATTTCTTCATATGTCTCCCTGTAAATTTAGGGGCTGTTGATATCACCAGTTAAAATAAAACAACGCGTTTGTAAAATCTGTAATATTTTAATTGAAGGCATTTACATGTCAGTGTTTGGTGAAGGGGAAGGGAAGCTTTCAATTCTACCCTGACATTGCAGCAAGCCACTGAAACTTGACTGTCACAACCCAGCTGTCCCACAGTTGGGTGCCTTTTAAAAAGGCTGCTTAGGTGGGACTACTGAAACAGTTCAGCAGTCGGAGTTTGATAGACGAGTTGTAATGAACGCTGCTGCAGTAACGCGGTGTGTTACAGGTCTCGGCCCTCAATAAAGTCCCGAGTTTACCACCCTACAGTAACACGGCTGTTCTGTTACTACGAGGCAGTCTAGCATTATAGCCTTATATCCTACAGATGCTAAAAATCACCTGAATTACATTCATTAATCTCAGCTTTTGTGACAGTATGCATGATCTAACAATATTTCCATGCAGGCTGATCAGGACTTCACCTTATGATTCATCCTGTTATGTCTCCATCTCGTTCAACAATCTCACAAAAGAGGGAGCACTGCAATTCATTACAAAATCTAAGTGGTTTTGGTTTTGTGGTGTTTTTTTTGTTTGTTTGTTTTGGGGTTTTTTGTTTTTTGTTTTTTTTTTTTTTTTAAAGGGTTGCTTCCACCAAGAGTACTTGCTCACCAAGCAAACAATGCTGGTCACTGGCCTTCTTCGGCAGCAGCTCTGGACCGAACTGACGCACACGTCTTTCAGTGCCTCTTCACCACGCAACGTGGCATTTGTTTCAGGGCCTGTCTATCACAGGCTGCAGCACCCTTCAACCCAAACACTCTGCACAGCTTAGTTGCACACAAATGCAGTTATTACACTTGCCACAATTAGAAAACAACTCCCTCGCCAAAACAAATATGAAACCAAATGAACCCTTTCGTTTTCAGAAGGCAGATCTCCACGTTACATACACCATACCTGCAAGTTAGGCACACTCATAGTTCACCAACTTCAATCAGCTTGCTTTGTTCTTTCAGGGATGCGTACAGAGTATCTCTTCCTCTGGAGCTTCCCTCACCCGAAAGCTGTCCATGGGATACTAAGCTTACCTTTTTCTTCTTTTCAGACACATGTCTCAGGGAACTCTTATCTCCTCCCCTGCACTCTGAAATTCTCAAATTCCCAAGCTCACATACAAAGCAAAAGATAACTATCTTACACAGCCAGCTTGAGCCACACGCCATAAAAAGTCTTGCAGAGGAGATGTGATATGCCCAGACTACAGTTCATGTGCCTTCCCTTACATATCGACTAAAATACGTACTGTGTAATCACAGAAAGTAGGCCTCAGGAGGTATCCCTACGACCCTGGGGCACGATCAACAAAATCAATTGTCTCTTAGTTTAAAAACCTCCAGTGAAAGAAGGCTCCTCACCCCACCTGGAATGACCCATTCTCCTTAGCTAACTAGGTGTATTGTACGGAATTTCTCCTAATGCTTAACTTGCCTTTTAAATGAATAGCCTGTGTCTACCATCAACGTGGAGAAAAGACTGTTCCTATCTTCTCTATAACAACTTTTTCAATATTTGAAGATTGTTTTCACATCTTCCTTCAGTCTCCTCATTGGATTACAGAACACTTCTGATCTGTTTTTTTGAGTACTTTCTGTCCTCCAGACTCTATCCAGCTACTCCCCATCTTTCTCAGGTGCCCCAACATGAACGGGTACTTCAGGTAAGGCCTTATCACACCTTGCTAACACAGAAATACCACCACACTTCTCACAGGCTACACTGTTGATGCATCCCACTATGACGAGTATCTTTTCTGCAGCAATGAGTTAACGGTACTCAGTTTGTCATACTCTATACCATCCCTGCCCCAAGATGTTTTATGCAGCAATACCCACTCCCTCCTGTTTGTGCAGCTGACTATTCTGACCTAAATGTAGTTCCTCACATGCTTTATTTTTCCAAAGCATTTCTCCTATTTTTCATGATCAGTTTTAATTCAAATCTTGTCTGCCAGTCTGCTGCAGCCCTGTCAGCTTGCCATGTGTTACCTAGATAAATCAAAAATGTAATTATTACTCCAAATGAGGACCTACCTTCACACACCCCACAGAAGGCATCATTTCTTACATTTTATTCCCCATACTCTTCCTATTAAAGCTAGTTTCAGTTTGGAGACTTCCCACATGCAGTAAGGGATTTCTAAGGACATATTCCAACAACCTAATGAGCTTTAAAATACCTCCTGCTATTAAAAAAAAAATAATAAAAACATTTGGTATCAACAGACTTCCTTCTGCTAAAATTCCTCCCTTTCAAATCTAATTTTAAATTACTCTAACATGGAAGATTCAAATCTCAACAGAAGCTTTCCAATCAAAAAACCATCATATTTTAGTGCAGCCCTACAAAATTAGTCACAGAAATCATCGGAAAGGTTTTGTTTGTTTGTTTGGAAGTAGAGTTGCCATTAGAGTTATTTTGTGACAGAGTCCTCCTTCCTACTCCTTTAGGCTTTTGTCACGTTTCCTAATCAGTGAAGCTCTGTGGTTTTATAACAATTTACATTTTTCTCCGAGACCTCCATTGGTAATTAAGGCATCTGGCTTTACAAAAGGAAAGATAAGAAATGTTACTAATACAAGTGTTTTAGGTTGTGTGTTTTGTTTGGTTTTTTTTTTAAACAGTTCTAAACTATCTTAAGCTTCATATACGTTATATGCAGTATATGTAATGTTGCTATAGAGATTTAACTAGTGTTTCTTCAGGATATTCTGCAACTTGTTGCTGGATTGGCCTCTGAAGTAACTGCAACCTTTCCAAACTCGTGCTAATACAACAAAGTTTCCATAGTGTGTTCCGTGCTAAGTTAACTATATACAGGCTTGCTACAAAAGAAACCTGTGATTCCTGATGAATCTAGATTAAATACAATTGTGTAAACGTCTCCCATTTAAATGTTGGGTGGACATGATTTAAACTGATTATAAGAGAAAAGCACAAACAGTTTTGTCACGTATTTGCAAACAGTATGTGGCATGTCAGTTTGGAAAAAATTCACGTTTAATTGCATCCAGAAGATTACAGTAGAAAAGTGTTGGGGTGAGGGATAAGGAGCCTTTCCTTTTCATTCTACCATGGAATAGACTGAAAAAGAAACAATTCTGTCATTCAACAATAAAAAGTAATCCTTAGCAAGTTTTTGCATTATTGTTTCCAAACTGTTCACTGAAACCAGAACAAAGGGCCAAAATGTGCTTGCCTTGCTCAAGAGAATAATCCCACTGAAATCACCAAGACTGACTATGCAAATATGGACAGCAAAGTTTGGCCCCAAATAAACATCCCCATAACTAGGGAAAACACTAATCACCAAAGTGCACTTAACACCATAGTAGCTACAGTTTCTTTATACATGCACAGTTTGTGCGACACTTTGTACATGGAAATCTAGCCAATGGAATATAAATAAGTGTGCCGCTTCCTTTTAAATATGAACATAATAATGAAGCACATTCACATTTTTGCCTTTCAAAGACCTTTTTGAAAAAAATAAAAACACCTTCCCCAAAGTAATCTGGAACATGTTGTTAAATATAGCACATATGATTCAAAGAACAGTATTAAGGTAAAAGAACTTTCACACACAAAACCCGGTATTTGCTGTATAGTTGGAGTGACTTATGAAAATTCCAAGAAAAGACAATCCTCTCACCAGGAGAGGAAGGTAACAGTGGTAGTGTTAATTCAGTTTCTTCTGCAGGGGCTTGTTTTTATCTTCAGCGTTTTCAGGGCTGAAGTCAGTACAGATACCATTAGGAGCAGAAAGAGATGAAGTCTCCAAGCCACTCTCGGCTCCCATCTGATCAGCATAGAGATAGTCTTCTGCAAAGTGTGGGTGCAATTCAGCAAATCTGTAGAAGTCATCTAAAAAAAAATTTGTTGTTACACAGAATCAGCTCTTTGAAACAGAAGGACACTAAATTTGAATACTTACACATATATAATCACATGATCACTTGGGAGGAAAATAGCAGCAGTTAACATAATGCTATCCCCACAGCTTGTTTTAGCTTCTCAGCAGAAGTTTACCACATCCCCAGAGCCGAGATGCTGCAAAGAGTTATCTAAGCCCTCTTAAAACACTTCAGACCAGAGCTTAGCTTGTATGGTGAAAGGGTAAACAGGCTCAGATTTGCATTAAAATGCATGAGGAGCACCACATGCCCTGACTTAGCATCTCACTGTTCACTGGGGGAAGGGCAGAAGCCCTCCAGCTGAGGAACAATGAACAGCAAGAGTAGTCATTTCTTAAAAATCTGGGAAGTCTTTTGCAAACATGCCCTTTAATGCTTTGCACTTATAATTCTCATCAACCTAACAGCAGCTGTCATTGCTGCCTTCCGCTTTCCAGATTTCAGCATTTCAAAACTCCTAATATTTTAGAGCATAATATTGCGAGAAGATAAATAATTTGTAAAACAACTGATTTTAATGTTGGCTGCTAGTAAGACAATAAAAAGAGCAAGATTAGTTCCTGGGGGAGCAGGGAATCCTTAACATCAAGAAGTTATATTTTGTGTTAAAAATCCGGCATTAAAGCCTTGTCACAATTTGCCCACATGGCTGTTTATTCAGACGTGATTTGAACGCAAGATACTGTAGAGGATCCAGGTCATAAGGAGCTATTCTTATAACGTAAAGTGGCACTGGAAGAAGCCGGATGCGAACATTATCATCACTAACTCAGTCACCTGCAGTGTACCACACACAGCCCACTCAAATCCACTGTCTTATCCCAGAAGAGCTCACAATCAATGCTGTGAGAGTTCCCTGGCGTGCAGTGCGGGTAACACCTGAAGTAGCCTTTCAGAGGAGTGGAGCCCAGTTCCTCCTGGTACAACTGGGCTGGTGTGGAAGAAGGGAACTACCATAGCTTTCCCTTTCTGCCATCCTTCTCTGAGACGGCGTGTTTTTCTCAGCATTGCAAAGGGCAAGGGATTGTTGTTTCTCTCACAGGGGCACTGAAGTTGTAGGTCAGCCCGGCCTCTGAACTATTGCAAAGGGACAGGTGAGGAGAATGCAATAAACAACTTCATCCTTCTGCAAACAAAAAAGTGGGTATCCTATATCTGCAGTTTATAGGGATCTCAAGTATTTTGGACCCTGTAACTTCAACAAAAGCTGATGAAGTTCAGGCCATGAAAACCAACACTATCACCTATGTTGGAAAACCTGTATGTACAACTGGCTGATTGATCATGTCAATGATAAAGTGGGGGGGGGGGTGAGAAATCTTAAAGTTTTGATTTCTCAGAACTTGCCGGGACGATGCCTTCAGAAAAGGTGTAGTTTGCAAATTTTCCACCTCTCCTTTCTCAGTATTTAAGTGCAACAAATTGAGTATGTGGAAAGTTGCACATATTCTCAGGAAAGGCAAGAGATTGAATATTTATGGCAAGAACTCTCAAGATAGAAATGCAATACCAAAAGTTTATTTTCATCTTCTAATTCTCTACCACAATAAACTGGACATTTATTCTTACTATTAAGTGTTCAGATATGTTAAAATTTCAGTCCAAAGTTTATATTCTAAAATGAGCACTTCTCTCAGGAAAAGATCCAAGCAAAGTTTCAAAGAAGTGATGTAAATACCATCCTACTTTGTGTAGCCTCACAAAAGACTACTCTTGACTGCAGGAAATAAAATAGTGAAAGTGAGAGCTAAGCACTTCAGTGGCCACTGCTGTGGCTCAGTGGTCCAGATTTTCTTGTGATGGGAACATCCTGTGACCACTCAGGGGTGAAGTGCAGATTTAAACACAACTAAGTACTATTAAAGATGGATATTAAAATATGAATTCTTTGGTAACTCACATGAACTGGTCTGAGTTCACTTGTACACCATTTCAAATTTAGCTATTCTCAAACAATGAAGTGTGCCAAAATTAGAGTTCTGCTAAGCTTACCAGCTTAGATTCTGTGCTGGTATTTTTTAAGCTGGGTGGTGGTGGGGGTGTCGTCAGAAATGTTGAGTCACCACCCAAATGAGTTAGGAGACAACAAGGAGCAACAGAGATAGGCAGGAAAAAGTCAATAATGTCAAATGGACATGGAAATACTGGGGACATGACAGGTGAGAGGTACAGAAAGGAAAGGGGCAGTACAGGAGGAGTCAAGGAGGCAAGACATAGCAGTCAGGGAAAAATGGGAGGGCAGTGGCAATGATTCTCATTCCAATAACTCTAAAATAGTTATGTAGTTGAAGCTTTACGTGCATATTGTACAACTGAAACATAGGAATTACTAGTGTAGAAATGGTGAGTTACTAACACTGATGTCTTAATTTGTAAGATTTTTACAAATCAAATACATACTAATTATCCTGAAGGAAAACCACTAAAACAGGGCATATCATAAGCACTTCTACTGGAAATACGCAATATATTGGCTATCAACAACTCTGATCATACTTAAATGATACAACTAAATTTAGAACCTTACTGCATAAAAGATGAAGAACCTGAAGTAACACACAAAGTACTTTGATTCCCAGCATAATCTATTCACCCGGATCTCACAATTTTTCAAATGCAACTTTCTCGCCTCCATATCACCTGCATTACAGACTACATATTGAGCAGCCTAGTTAATACCCCCTCATTTCCACCCCCCCACACACTCGTGACTTATTTTCAAACAGGCTGAGAAATTATTATAGGAGTAGAAAGTCTTATACCCCCCTACATTCTGGGAGGACAGAAATAGTGGGGAACAGATACAAGAGACAAAACAAAAGGACAGAGCTAAGATAGCTTTCTTAAAAATACATATTCACAAAAATACATGGAAGTCACAGAACAGAATATGCTGAGAGAGCTAATCCAGGTATTGCCTGACTTAACATGGAAGGGAAAACCTCTGAAAACATGTAAACATGACATTTGATATTAAAGGTGAAACTCCATTTTTTTTTTATGTAAATTTACTTTGTCTGCAGTGCTTTTATTATTAAAGTCAACAAGCCAACTAAAAAAGGCAAAGTTTAATAAAAATATAACTGGTTTGTATATCTGCATGAGTTCAGACAACTTTGACATTTTGTGACAGTTCAGAACCACTTAAAGTACTTACCATATGTAATCTCTCCTTTTTCTTCTTCATCTACAGCTCTAAAAAGATGCGTAACATTAATCTGTGACACACCCATGGCAGTCTTCAGAATATGAGCTAAATCCTCTTCTGTTATAGTTCCATTTTCTGACTGGTACAGCTACGAATCAAGACAGCAAGATAAATCATTGCAAAGCTGAATGCTAACTCCTATAAACAGCACCACACTAAGTTGTTATGCAAAATTAAAATTTGGTATTGGAAATTCTAGTCACTCTCAGATTGATGTGATCTAAGGATTTCTAATTAGTTTGGGTAAAAGACAGCATTGATTATTAGTTCACCTGTGTAGGCTTCGAAAGTAAAGCTTGCTATATTCACAAAAACACCATATGTTTATGTGACTAACCACTGGAATTTCAGTGATATTCAGAGACAAGACTGTTTAACACTAACATGTTTTGCAGATATGTAACTCAGGATAACTTTTAGTCCATTGAGCTACGTGTCCAAACTTCAAGAGAGTCTGTGGAATCAGGAGATATATTTAAGTCAGCCTAAAGCAGATACTGTTTCGACTTGGTCAGATGTAAAACTCAAGATTCCTTTGACCAAAATCCAACTGATTCGACAGCCAGTTTGCATAAGATGCCTACATCTAAATGGCATTGTATTAATTGTTCATAGTCTCATTCTATGTTTGTATACGTACAGTGTTTTCCCCTGAAAAAGGACCTGAGTATTTCAAAACATCTGTAACAAATACAGCTTCATTAAACTTTCTAAAATAAGTCAAGTTTGCCTGTGCAATGGAAATTGAGACAGAAGAGTTTTCAAAACATTTTTCTCATTTTCAAGCATGATAACACTGCAAATATTGAACCATGTAAAAAATGCTATTTTGGAGGCTTCCTTTTAGTTTCTCTACATCATTGAGAAGGTGGGAACTGATGAGCTTGAACAAAACAGGCATAAGGATGTATCTTTCACACAAGCAGACAGCACACCTCAATGGAATAAAAAAAAGTCAGTGGAATAAAAAAATTGAAGTTCTCTGGAAGACAACATTCATGCTCAAATCAGGAATCTTGCCTTTTCCTCCCTAGCACCTAACCTGCACATCATTTCACAAGGAGTAGGGGCAAGGACAAGACACTTGTTTAATAAAACCTGCTATATTTTCACAGATCAAGTAGTCAGAAGGTGATACTTGATGGTAAGGTTCACAAGCATCATATCAGCAAGATTTACAACATCCTTTGGTTTCCTTAGCAATTAGGAAGGGAGGATGCAGCACTTAAACTGGAGTGCTGCTCTTAAGCTTGATTGCCATAATCCCCCCTTCTCTTTTAATTTTCTACCACTTTAGAACTCTGGTGGCTCAGTAACTCCTATTTTTCAAGTTCTTCAGCTATATACTAAACAATTCCACTTTGAAAACTTGCTCAGCTACATAAAATATTGCACTTTATCCGTGAAAACAAATGACAAAGTGCTTTGCAAAAAGTAGTACATGGCAGAGGACAGCACCTGTTCAAAGTCACACATTCATGAACTGTCTAGATCCTTCAATGGCTCCCAATAAGCTGTGTGAGTATCTTACTGTACACAAACCCAGGACAGGGGAGAAGAAAGGATTAAAAAAAAAAAAAAAAAGGTTCTCTTTCTTTTTTTCTAGAATACTGTGAGCGTAACTTCCTCCGCTCGAGACCTTTTTTAACCTTTCCAATCATCACTAGCAGGATAAAATGAGCCATACCTGCTTCCCCTTGCTGAGTGCTTCCCCTTCTTAATACATGCATAGAACTTCTTTGCAGTTCTCCAGTTAACTTTATATTTTGCAGTTAACCAAGGAACTCAAAATTATGTATTATGACTTGAAGAACAGAGCAGATAGTGAAGGACAGAATTTTTCTAAGAAACAGTTATATTAACTTAAATTTAGGTGCTTCCAAAAAGAAGATAACCACCCAATCTGAGCTTTTCTTCCTCTAAAATGGTAGAAGTATATTGCACATTATGCATCACGACAGCTAAATTTCACTGAAATACTACCTAAAAGCCACCTTCAAGTTTACTTTAAGCTTGTTCTTTTTAGTATGAAGACACAGAGCTGACCAAACAGCACCTGACCATTTCTCTGTGCCATTATATAGATGGAGTAAGTCAGGGCAGAGACCTGTCTGCCTTCCCCTCAGAAATAGCAGCAACAGCAGCTATTAGAGGCAGATTTCCCCCAATATTTGTAGGAACTAAATATTTTTGTTCCTTCCTCCTTTGTCAAATTGGTTTGATACTGACCAAAGAGTAAGAATGAGAGATGTGAACACTAAATATGAACAACACTGAAGAACCTGAAAACAACTACTGAGAGATTAATTAAAAAGTAATAAATCAAGGTGTCAGACAAACCCACTGGAATGGCAAACTAATATTAAAGTATTGCTGCTGTCACTTTCCCCAAAAGCCTGCATTAACCATCTATGCCGATGCTACAACAAACCACTGAGGCTAGAACAAGATCAGGAGCACTTCTGGGAAGCATAAAGTCTGGGCAGAAACTGCAGGACCAACACAGAAACACAGTAAGACTAAGAGGGAAGAAAATCTTTTCAAGAAGATAAATGGGGGTAAAAAAAAAAATTCATCTCTATTAACATGTAGGAGAAGTTTTTAAATATTAACCTGAAAAATAAGATTTGATTGAAACATATAAAAGTAGTAAGCACAACTCATTAGCCTTTAGTTTAGAGGAATCAATACAAAAGGACTTCAGGTTTGAGACTCAATGTCTACTAGAGTTCCACAGAGAACAAATTTCAAACGGCAAACTTCCATAATTTTATACAACTTAAACTTGCAGTGCGTTCCCTCTGAACATGACCTCTTAATCTAACTTTCCATTAATGTTATTAAGTATTAAAAGGGCATGTGAAACAAGCTTCTGTTAAGTCTAGTGGCAGGATTAATAATTTCTAAAAATAAGTAAACTACGTAGAGGATGAAAATGCTGCTTACCTGAAATGCCAACTGAATTGTTTCCAGAGTTTTGGATGGCTTACAGACAACTGACAGAGCAATGACAAATTCCCGAATGTCAATTATGCCATCTTCATTCTGTGAAAGAAAACCTCACCTCAAAATACTGCAATTTGTCTGAGGACTTTCATAAATAACTAACAGTTGCTAAAGATGCAGAATATTCAGAAAGATCATTACATATGCCACTGCAAAAAAAAGTCTCACTGAAATGAATTACATCAGGGCAAGAACTTGGGTCATCAAAGCTCTGCAGGCCCTTTTCAGAGTCTCAGTCATAAGTCATAATTCAAAGGTTCTTGGAAGACAGTGCTGCTACTGTCACCCTTCATTTCCATATTTAAGATTTTTACGTTAAACCATTTGAATTACCGGGTTGAAATTAAAATTGGAGAACCAGAGGGCAAGGTAGCCTAATTTAAGCCCTGAATCCATGACATCTGCTCTTTGGTCTAAGAGAGAACACTGTGGACATATCCACCTCCTGGTCCAAACAGCACCTCATCCAGACAAAGACAATAGTCATTTCCCCGTTCTGACTGATTGCCAGAGGAATGAAACACTGGCTCATTTGCCAAGTTCCTAGGTCCTTCAGGTTTCAGGCATCCTAAAAGAACAAGTGATTTGTTTACAAAGTGAAATATCAGCTAATAGGCATTGCATTCAGTTGCAACAAGCAGCAGCAGAGGTTTAGCCTGAATCCATCTTTCTTCCTCTTCATATTTTGCATCTAGGAAGAAAGTAAGTTTTGTCCAACTGATACTCCTTTTAACTTCTACCTGAATGAATGCTTTATTTAATTGATGATAGGTGCTCTTACTTTGCTGAAAGGGAAACGCAATAGGCAAATACTGTGGAAGTGCTCAAAAGCACTTAGCACTGGCCCAAATCAGACCTCAGTGAATTCAACTGGAACAGAATTAGGCTAAAGCAGAGTTTGCCAAAAGTAGTAAAAAACTTTTAAACATGATGTTTCTTACCTCATCAAAAAGTGCAAACATACTTTCTAATGTGTGAGAAACTGGAAATTCCAAGTATGCTGAAAATTCTTTAAGATCAACCTTTTCTTTTTTCATTTTCATGGCACTTACAGCATATTTATCAAGATCATCTTCAAGTGTTTCTGGCTTCAGCCTAGAAAGCATATTATTTTTGCACATATTAAAAATAAACCCAGTTTTAACAATACAAATTTCAATATACCAAATGAAGCAATAGATGATAATGGTGTAAAACATTACAAGATCTGCAATCAGAATTACTAAGCAACTTTATTATAAAATAATGTATTCCTGTAATTAAGGCTCCCATTGGTTTTTGAACTGTATTAGAAATTACTGCAAGGGCGTAGGAACCCTGGTCATAAGCTTGCGTCCTTTACTCTATCTTGATTATAAACCGTATGTGTAAGCAGTTCAACATGAACAAGAAACACAGTCTAGTACTAGCTAATGGATATCAGGCATGGAGCACCAGGTGGGATTTAGGTCACCTGAATATGGCTGTATTGTAGGACAGTAGCATAAACCAATTACGTTTCCAAATTTGCTAATGTCACTGAACAGGAAAGACCTGGTGCATCTTGCCTACAAGAAATCAGGGATTACATAATAGCGATTATACTGTTAATCCTGTTTGTCAGTCCTCGTTTTCCACGGTCAGTCTGGAGTTGGACACCATTACAAGGTGACCCAAAGTTATAGCAGTTAATACAGCTATGGAAATTCCCTCAGTCCTTCCAATTGCAAAACCAGATTTTGACTGATGAATGAACAGCTTTGTATTTATGCAGATATCTGTTGCATGGTGGTTGTTTATTGTTTGCGAAGTCGAGCCTCCTGTTTTCGCTTTGCAAAAAAAAATATCTTACTATGAATATAATAAGTGGTGCTGCAGATACGTGGGAAAAAGTAAATTCTCTCCCTAATACAACATCAACCAGATCTTGATCAGCAGGTTTCCTGTGAACTAATTTAGGGTAACGTGGGCATCCAAACTTTCTAGTCTGAAGAGAAAAGAAGCCAATAAACTCTTCTACAGTAGTCTTCTGCAGTTGTCTGTTTTGCTGTTTGCTGCTGCAGACAAGGAAAAGCAGTTATTTACAGAACTCACAAGCTCACGCCAGAATTGTTCCCAGACTGCAGCTGGGACTCCTCAGCAGCTTCCGCTCAGTGACAAGACTGAATAAAATCCTTAATATCAGCATTCTCAGGAGCTTCTGAAAAAAGGTAAGAGCATTTCCGATAGGAAGATTACCTGATACGTCAGCTCCAGACATTGATCGCTTGCTGAAATGACCCTTCCTAAAAATCACTGCTTTTAAGTAAAAACACAACTACTATGCTGTCTGCCATTAGCTAAACTGACTTACAAAAATGTACCAACTAAACAATGCCAAGCCCTGTATTTCTGAATTATAAGACCTGAGCATGCAAGAAATCTTCCAGAGACCCATGGCCCCTACAGAGCATTCATATGCTCTCCATCCTGGCATTAAAGCACCTACCCTAAGTTTTGGTCCTAGACAGTATTAGAAGAACAGCAAACACTCCTCTGCAAACATTCATTTTCCATGATCAAGTAGAAAAGTAGTAGGAACAATGACAAAGGAATCCATGGAGGATTTGAGATGCATACAGAACTCAGCTTCTCACATGCAAGATTACATATAAGAAGTGCCCACAGATAATACATCCCCATAGTAGTAGTCAAAATGGATTTTAACTGTAGGATAAGGGCAGCTGGCATCCGAATCCTCCCTTGAGATAATCCACCAGTGACACAGAATACACAGTCTAACATCTGTCTCTAAATCAGAGAGATTTGATTTGCAATAAATTAACTCAAAATTCACCTTCTAGAACTGAGGGAGTACTCATTTGGTGAGTAGTATTCAAGACTTGTGAGATCTCCTCTTCACCAGTCAATTAAGTATGAAAAGCTAAAAAGTTTGAAGGTAAAACCCTGCATGGAAAGTAGCCTGGCTTACCACGAATCTTACAGACATCTTCTGGTTTGGGTTTTGTAAATACAGAAAGAGATGTGAGCCAATCTCAAAAAGAGTGTGTGGATTAGTGAGGCAAACTTATTGCTTCAGCTTGAGTACGATTGCATTATACTTCTGGTAATCCAAGGTGGGATCCCTTCCCCCTAGCCCTTTCAGAATCAGAAAGTAACTGATGTGGATGACCATGACCTGCTGTGCTGAAGTCTTTTGAAGCCAAGTGTTCCAAATCCCACAATAGGTTCTGAACTAATATCAAATGGTTTGAATTATCTCAATTCCTTTAAAATTGCTACTTTTATCCCAATGGAGGCTACAGAAGCTACAAAGCCAACACTGGATGTCTTTGCTTATGAAATCATGCTTGTTTGCCTAATGGCTTCCATGCAGGATCTAGGCTTTACGATACATAACATTATTTGCTATTGGGGTGTTTTGGTTCATTTTTTAGGCCAGTGCACACTAAGGAGAACAAAAAGTCACTCCTGAGTCCATGAAGATGGAAAGGACATTTTTCAAGATTAACAGCTCTGAACATTAAATCCTTCACAGCAGACTTCACAAGGAAAACCAGATCCCTGAAGGTAGGATATTTTCAGCATAAATACCACTATTTTTAGCAAGTCAGATATCTTACCTCCTTAAAGCTAGTTTTAGCTGCACTTGGCTATTTGAAAACAAACTCCTTTCTTGCATGCTGGGAACCTGCCAAAAACTTTCTAGTGTCTCACAGAGCTGGAAGTTGCATAAGGACAGCTGGATCTTGTAGCTAGCTACTGTAAACTGCAAGCTCAGAGAAAAATGCTCTAAGCCAGAAAAGCACGATACATTCACTTTTATGTCGGCTGATGTTCTTCTGTGCAACTTCTTGTCATAATGGAGAAAGGACACTGAACAGCTGCAAAACTGACCTTCCGAATACTCTGGCACAGCCTGCCTTGATCCACAAGGCAGGGGTTATCATGGTTGGTATTTGCTATGTTAAGCCTAATCCGTGATCACCTCCTGTAATGGACAGTATTGCTTTTATCATGAATGCACATGCACAACATCCTCCAGAGTTTTTTTTCTTGTTATAGATGATCTTTGAAAACTGTGAAGTCATGGCACTATTAGTTAGCTATGAGGTGTTACTACTTTGGGGATGCAAAGCTCTACCTACAGCCTGGACCACCATTTCAGGCACACATGGAAAGCAGAAGTCTGCATTGTAGTCTGGATGGTAAAGGCTATTGAGCAAGAATACACAGGCACCAGGCCTATGAGGTTATTATCTCCTCCTTGCAGATATTACGAGCCTAGAGGAGCATTGCCTAGCAGGATCCTCGTGGCCAACTGGATGAGATAATATTGGAGTAATGGTCAAAATGGAACTGCTGTTCAATTCAGGTCATTCTTACCAAAATACTATGGTGTTTAAGAGACAGCAGAATTGATTCAACAATTAGGTTTACTAACACTGAACTTCACCAGCGTCAGGGAGTGTGTAAGGAGGTAAACCTTGCAGGCTTGCTAAGAGTATAGAACATTCTTCCAGGGCAGACATCACTAGTACCCATCACACGGGTACAAGACACCAATAATACTGAGGCTCAGGAAAGCAAAGGAGATAGTTAAGGATCCAAAAAGAATTCCAAAATAAATTGCTGCCCATTGTTAAAGATAAAAATTACTGACTAAGAGTCATCTTACTGAGAAAGCTAAGAAATCTAGAAGGCAAGAACAGAGGACTTCTCTGAAATTTGACCTGAAAAAGATGATTTGGTGCAAACCATACCTTTTAAAAGAAGTGGACATTGTATCAAAGCCATACTGTCTTCAGCGAAAAGTACAAAGAACCGCAGAGTCTGTGTACTAAATGCATACACCAGATCAAGAATCTGTCAAACCAAAGGGTCTTGTGCCACACATATACCAATAATAAAATGCACATTCACTATGATACCACATTACGCTCTTGCTGTACTTTCTGTACTTATTTCTTTTTGACGCACAAAATGAAAGCCAGCTGCCACACTGGAAGAAAAATGTGCCATCTTGTACAAGTATCAGTGCTGCCTAGCCTCGAAAAAAATAAGAAAAATAGATGAAAAATCTTAATTTTTGAAGAATATTTGTCAAAAAGACTTCAAATGAATAAGTAAGATCAGGAAGTAGAAAACAGTGACTAAAACAGAAGGATGTGAGACACATCCACCCTTGCTAAATCATACCTGGGGTTTTAAAAGTGAAGGATTTGGGAAAAAATAATCATGAACCAATTAAGTAAATAATGCAGTAGCAGAGTACTGAATGTTAACAAATTGAAGGGTAGACAGAAAGCAAGAGAAAAGAGATAAGTTAAAAAAAAAAAATCAAGCACAGGAAAAGCAAACCAATGACCCTTAACCTGGCTAGAAGTTTGATGAGGATATCAGTACTCTCCCCTTCCCCCCCACAAAGATGCAAAAGGCCTGGACCACTAGAATTTCTTGAGCAAAATTTCAGGTTACATCAAGACCTGACTTTATAAGCCTTATCTAACAGCAAGCAGAACACAGTCACTAGAAAATTTCTACTTTGGATTGCGATATATGCTACATTTGCCTTTTTTTTTTTTTTTGAAGAGAGGAGAGATATTTTACAAAAATGAAACAATTAAAACTGAGAATAATCACAACTCAAAAAAATTAGAAAGGCATTTGACTGAAAACTGGGAATTTTCTAAGGAGCTACTGATGGCCTAAAAGCCACAGTTCCATAAGAAAGGGTAACAACAACTGAAGCTAGAAGGTCCTTCTAGTTCATGGGCAAAGTGAATGCAGGAATTAAAATGAACAGAAGTTTGAGACAATAGGAACAAATCAATTCAAATTAGAGCTTAAGGATCTCCTTGCAGGCAACAACCCTAAAGCAGCTCATAAAAAGTACCTCATAAAAAGACAGAGATGAGAATTATACTGTATTAACACTTTCTAAAGGAGAAGATATCCGAAGAGGTCTTTAATAAGGCACAAAATCCAAACAAGCTTCAATGTCTAGAATGTGGTAATAGATCCAGTCAAAGTACAAATAAAGAATTGCTTTAAATAGTGGGGTAATTAATTGTGGAATAAATCATCAAATGAAGCAGAGGATTTACAATGTATGAAAGCTACAACAAAGACTGCATATAGCTTAGTAATCAGCTCATTGGTCAGACATAGATTATCAGGCTCAACAGAAGTATAACTACTTGAGGACTAATGAATGCAGACTTTGAGAAGATGAGACTATGATCAATTGATATCATTGATACAGCAATCATTTTACCACAGAGTTCAGTATCAGGCAGCTGAGTTTCAGCCAGCTGTGACCTGGCAGCTGTATAGCTGTGTTAACAGAGCCCAAGCTCTTCATTAGATAAGCATGAGAACTCACTGCTGTGGCTGCATGGCTTCTGGATTGGATCCCATCCAGCTGAGCACAGACTAAGGAAATTTTACAGACAACATTAATGAACCCTGTAGATACATAATGTGAACAGAAATAACACTCCAGTGTAACAAACTGAGGTGTAACTTGATTTCAAAGAATCTAAACCACAAACAAGTCTGGATTTGCCTTACTACAAAAATCTTGCATTTAAAACTGGATGTTACCTTGAAGGTATGCTATTGCTCAAAAACAAGTATTAAGACTGGATGCAAAATCCATTGGATAAAATTTACTGTTCCAGTTATTTAGGGATGTGACTGGATGATCTTAATGCCTCCCTGGCCTCAAAACCTTTGAATAAACAGCAAAATGACTGCATTGCCATCAAACATGCATTAGAGATGAAGTCATATTACAATCTTCATCCAACTGTGCCAGAAAAATACCATTGTAATAGCCTTCTAACTGGCACATATCCAAATCAAGACAGGATAATATTTCACCAATGTACAATGGCTCAAACCAGACAGAGAACTTTTGGGTTGTGGGGAACCTCACTCACAAATGCATGTAATTGTTTTAGAGGTCAAAACAAAAACCCAGAAAAGCAAAATTTGAAAGAACAGCTTTAAATTGAGCAGACACAAGCCAGACAATTTAACAAGAGGATTAAACTGAATCCTGGGATTATCAAGTACATAATAAAAGAGATGTGGGTGGTTTTTTGGGTTGTTATGTTTGCCTTTTTTTTTTTTTTTTTAGTACTGTAAATTCAGAGCCTTTGGAACAAAGCAAGAATCTGTTTCCCCTTAAAAGTCTCTCCTATCCTACTGGAAGTCTTTTCAGACGGAGGTCTCAACAATGAATTAATATATGCTTGTCATCTGAATGCATAATGTATGCTGTCCTACATTCCTTATTCTCCAATATATCTTTCTCTTCTTTTTTTCATTTATGTACACAAGCTGGAAGATGAAGGAAAAGTTAGTAAAAGGAAATAAAGTACAGAATGGAAACATGAAACTATGCTCTATACTTTCAGGTGAGGAGACAAAAAATGAAAAAGGCTGTTTGTATATTAAAGCAGTTAATTGGATGAGTCTGTAAATTTAGTTTGTAGCTGTTCAACAGGATGAGAGGAGAAACAGGTGAAAAATTGGAAAAGAGCTGCAACAAGTTCTACTGTTTGGTTGATGTAAATTTTTTCACTGTTTGCTGAAGCTTTTCTGAAAGGTAAAGCCGGAGGGAACTGAAGCTATGAGAAGAGAGGAGCCACACTGCATATACTAGGCTACAGTTTCATTAGAAAGTCCACCTAGCAGTAACCTACTCAAAAGATCAACCACTTCTTTGTGCTTCCTGGGAAAGGGTGACCCCTCTGCCCTCACTATTATAACTTTAATCCAGTCGCAAGACTGCTATGGCAGCACTGTTCTCCTTTCACAGATGTCACAGGAAAGGGCAATTGACTCTTAACTGTATCAAATATTAGGAGTTCCACAGTATTCCTGACCCTCTTCAGGAGGTCTCTTCTAGTTTTAAACAAAACTGAATGAACACTTCAGACACACTGCTCACTTTCCAGACTGAAAATATGAATTTTACAACCTACTCAACTCATTAGGATCTAGGGGTGCTGCTTGCAAGTGGAGAATAGTACTGGTTTAATTTTATATTAGCGTTTCCCTGATCGTAATATAACAACATTTCATATATATTCATAAATGCAATATTGTTATATGGAGGGAAAACTATATAAACATAGATATATAATAAAGATGCACCTTACATACAAATATTGTATGTGCTCACCCAAGGCTTCTCACAAGCTTTGCAAATTCTAAAAGACACGTGTCTGAAGGTAGACGAAGTTGTCCTTCAGCCAAAGCTAGCTGACAGTCTTCAAATGTATAGTCTGTCACTGAAACTCCCAACGCCCTTGAATAAACCACAGAAACACAGTAAGCAAGAAAATTTAAGAAAACTGAGCAGAATCATCACTTTTTTTTTTATAGCAAGAAATCTTGCAACAATTATGCTCTCTATTCTGAAGAGCTATAAGAAAGTTCACATACAGAGAATGAAATATGGTACTCTACCCATGGCAGAACATCTATTCTGACTTCACAAGTACATGAAAATATAAAAAAACACAAGGGAAAAATTAAGCAGTGCATAGACTTTCAAATTCCTTAATATTTTCACACAAGTGAATAACAGGGGTTTCAGAATTATTAATCTAGAACAAAAAATACATATTTATTAATACTTATGTTAAATATTTGTATTATTATTATTACACTGAAATATTAATAAATCAATAATCACCTGAGCAGAACAACAATTACCTTCAGGTAATATTAAAATTATACAATAGACAACATTTCTCTATAAAGAACGGCTAGAACAAAGTATAAAAGCAAGTAGAGTTAAACTCCAAGAAAGGTAGACTAAAAAATACTCCCAAGTTTTTATATGCCAAACAATTAAGTATTCATTTTCGCTTTACTTCTAACTTGATGCTCTGTAGTAATAGCAGCACCAAAAGATACTTCAAGGAAATCCTTATATTGTAGTTGCACTGCATTTGCTGTGCCAAAGTGGAGAAAGACACTTCAGTTTGGAACAGGCCTTTAAGAATTCAGTGTACAAACATAAGATGCAATGTAGAAAGCAAGCACTGCTCCATATGAGTTACTCATCTGCCATGTTTTCCATTATACTTGATTTTACTTATATTAGTACCAAACGTTATCTGCTTTATGCAGCCTTTTCTAGTTTGATGAAGTCTTCACAAAATTTTTTTCTTGACTTACCTTCATTCTTTTCATCTACAGGTCTTTCTACCTTACTACTAACCACCTTTTCCATCTGTGAAGGTAATATACAGTAATAGCAAGATTGATACAAAACCCCGAGGCATGCCACAGACATTTTGGCTTTGATGAAAACTCTGCATTCAATTCTACGCTTTATTATACACAGTTTGATCTGTAATGGCAGCTACCTCTCATGCAATAACCACTTAATTTCTGTTAAGTAGCCTCTTCCCTAGAATCTTGTTACAAGACCTTTGAATGCCAGTGTAAATAACAAAGCAAGTTCTCTTTTATCCAACAATTAACTGTCAAACTTCAGGAATTCTAATCCATTAGTAAGACATGCACTTAACATTAAAGTTATTGATCAGGGTTTCTCTCTTCTCTCTGAGGCTGAGAAAGCCAAAAACATTCAGGAATAACACCTCACTAACATATTCAAGCTCAAAAGTACCAAATATCTTAAAAAAATTAGACATTATAAGCTACTTATGAATAAAACAAGGGCATACAGGGTAGCGATTTTAGATGAACAGCCTCCCCCTTGGAAGAAGAAACAACAAACAGGAAGGAACAAAAGGAAAAAGCCAACTAAACCAAAAAGACACAGGTACATAGAAAACGCATCTTAAAATCCTGCAGACTGTTGAAGGCTAGACTGCCTCATATGGGTGATCCTAAACAATTAAATTCAGTTCCTCCAAATTTTTCACTTCTTGATCTGTTCCCATTTCATCACTCTACTCCTCCTATCAATAGTGTCCTAGTAGTATTTGCAAATCAGTAAACCACCTTAACAGAATGGACAAGAGGTTCTTATAATATCATATTTCATCCCATAGACTTATGGTTAACATAGTAATGAATGTTGTGTCAAACCCAGATGAAGAACTCCCCCAATGCTGTGAGGATTTAAATCCGTTTCCAAGTTCCACCTGACTCAGAGATCCGGTATTGCAGGTCTTGTCAATACTTGTATTATATGGTATTCAATATAGTGTTGTATTATACAATACAAAATCATTGGCATTATACAATACAAAATCAATTTTCCTTGGACGAAGAAAGAAGGGTGGAAGAAAGAAGGAGAGTCTATCCTGCCAGTTTAGATTACTTCCTATTCCCTTCTTTTGTACTGTGTGCGCGCTATATCATCCTTATAAAACTTCCCTGTCAACTGTCAGTGAAATAGCTGAACTCCTAGGGCAGCAAGGACACACTATTAGCAGTACAATCCAGAGCAGCTTACATAAAGAATGTGTAATAACCACAGATCTTGTCCAGCCAGGCACATTACAACAAATTTCACCAGATCTTAAGGCAACAGTAGGTATAGCACACAACAGAAATACAGGAACTTATGGGCGATCACCTGAAGCATAGGGCAACTACACAGAAAAGGGGAAGCTGGTTAAAAATAAGTTAAAAGAAGAAACTGAAAGGGTAAAGTGTTCATTTGCGGTACAAAACAACACACCATATCAGAGAATCAGGAGAAGCGACAAGATACTTAAAAAATATTCTGAAAGAACAAAAAAAAAATCCAGTATGACTCGGCAACTGATTAAAGGTGGCAATTAAAATTAAAAGACTTTTTTTTAAAAACACATCTTCTCTCAAGGAAAACAGAGAAGGCAGACAAGTTAAAACATAACCATAAGGCGGCAAGCCAAAGCAAGAAACAGTAACTTGTTAAAACTAAAAGCTAGAAGCTTTTCAAACACATCAAAAGAAAGATGACTAAGAAAGATCAGGCCACTCAGCCTGGGGGGAGGGTAGAGGCCTGACTGACTGCCATCCCAGAACCAATGCCAGGTTTAAATAATTTCTCCTAAATAACGACCCCCAAACATGCTGAAGGAGCCTAGCCAAAGAGGAATTTAAAAAACAAAAAACAACCCAACAACCAACCAAAACCAAACTTATGATACAGAACAAATTGCAAACAAAAGCAGGGATCATCTCAGACTCAGCCAAACCATAAGGGGTAAATATATCCTGCATCTTTTTACGGCTGTGTGCACCCCTTACAGAAGGAATGGTATTTGGGCCAGACTTACAGCGCTACCAGTACAGAAAAATTCCCACTACAATTAATGCCTGCATGTATGCCCAGTGTCAACACATACACAACACAGGACTGAGAAGGATAAAAGCATCTTCTCTTGCTCACCTGTTTGCAATTTTCCAGCCTTTGGACTTCCAAAGAAAAGCAAAGTGAACTGAAACAGTGTGTTTATATACACATCCAGATTTTAAGAATTACAAATATCGGAAGTAAAGAAGAGGAAGAAACAACTTTCGCTCACAGTAAAGTTCAGTCATAGGATCAGCCAAGGCCAGATTAATTAGAGTTCAAGGGGCTCTTGAGTTCAGAAGATAAATCACAAGCTGTATAAGGCTAGCAATTTAACACAAAAGGACGTTGATTTCAGCTCAGAATGTTGAAGAAACTGAAGCTGGGGAACATGAAGTTCATTATGTGACTAAGACTTGTGAATTTTTCAGTTTCTTCGAATAAAGACTGGCAGGCTACACTTCACTGTAAAGCCTGGGCACAACTGCAACTCACAGGATTTTCTACAGAACCAGTTACCAAACTGTTCCAACTTATCTCCAGGGCAATCTTTCTCTACTTTAATTCAACTGCTAAGAAAAAAAGATGATCATTTCAATTTGAGATTTGAGATGCAAATTACAAGTGCAACCCAATGTTTTTAATAAACTAGGAATATAACAGTTTTTCCCATATCTTCATTTAGAAGCACTTTTTTTTCCTCTTTTCTTCGTACTACCTCTGCTTTCACAGTCAGCTAACCTGAGCCTGGCCTTTTTAATGTTCAGCAATTTTATATGGCCAGATGTGCGTGTCTGGCTTGACATACGTTGAGCCTTTTTGCCTCCCTACCTTCCCCAAAATGCTGGCTATTTACCCTTTGTGATATCACACTACATGAAATTCCAAAGTCAGCAAGTCATTTCAAAAAAATAAAACCAAACAAAAAACACAAAAGCCTTCCTGCAAACCCAATCTGTTACACACAACAGTTGTACTTGTTATATCCTGACTTCTCACACCAAACAGCTCCCTATGTCTAACACTTGTGCAGTCATAATATAAAAATAAATTATCAACTTTCTCATTTTCTGCATACCAATCTACTACGCATGCAAAATTCTGAACATAAAACAGAATGTGACTGCTGTAATATTATGCAAAGTGAGAGAAAATAGTACAGGCAATATTGTGACATTCTGAATCTATGCTTCAACAAAAACATTTTCAAAATGTTTTATGTTGTTAATAAGCAGAACTGAACTAATCTAGAAAATATTCCGCAGGCTGCTCAAAAAAACACCCTTTAAATCAGCTATAATCTTCACAGGGTGCTGAAAACACTAAAAGGGTATCAAATCTGGTATTTTACTAAACTATCAGATGTTTAGGAAAGACAAACAAAACATGGCGAACAAATAACACCAGCTTCTAGTAGTCATCTGTATAGGAACTTGTGAACCAGAGACTATTTGTACCACTGTGTTTTAGAATCATTGATGGACCAAATTTTTTACAGTATATCTCAGCTCTGATGAATTCATTTTAGGCATCTGGTAGCAAATAACACAATTTTGTATATGTTTTAAAGGGTATTTCCATTTACTTTCAGCTGTTCTACTATTGAGTGCTTTCTATCTCTTCTGCTATGGAAAGTAACAGACTTTCCTTACTATGCATTTCCAGAACACTCATGATTTTACTGACCTTCAAAACAACCCTCCACTTTTTTTTTTTCCTTTTTCTTTTTCTTTCTTTCCCAAGCTGAAGAGCCTTCATCTATTTAGTTTTGGAAGGCCAGGGCGTGTAGCCCCCTTTTCTCTCCTTGGACGACTACTACTTTGTGACGTTCTCCAAGCAAATGACAGTCCAGTCATAAAAGTCCGGAGTTCACATCAAGAATACAGTATCTCATGATGGTTTAATTTTTAGACACAAAAAGAAGCTTCTAAAGCTGCATTTATCCCTCGTCTTAAGAAAATGCATCCTGTAACTGTTGGTCTTGTAGGTTTGTACAACACAAATCTTCAAGGGGTGAAAAATGAAGCTGGTTCTCTTTGTGTTGTCAGCATTCAAAAATCTAATTCAATCCACGCTGTTGCAAAATATTGCTTAACTTTAAAAAAATTTATTTCTTCCTTGAGATAATAAACTTAGCAAGAAGCTGCATAGAGTTAACCCTGTTCAGTAACTACGTTTGCTTAACTGCCACACTTACAGCATTCACAGAAATAAAGAGTGTACAAGGTAGTTCTCATCTCCATTTTTGTGTATGGCCTGAAACCTAAACAAATGGATGCTTGTTAACTCCAGCACTTCAGTAATTCCACTTGTACTGATCCTCATGCCTTTGATGGTATAAAAATGACAGAAGTCTTGTATTTCAAAGTTGAGTGCTGAGCATCCAACCAGTGCTTCTGCAGAATCCCATATAAAACTTCAGACAGCATAAGCACAGAGCACAGCAGTTTTTCCAAAGTTAGATTTAATTGGCCACTGAAAATACAACAAATAGCCATGAGACAGACCAGTAAGCTACTGTAAATCCACATCCTCAAGGCTATTCCTCAGCAACTAGCACTACTGTATCACATACAGTAGCAGAGATCACATTCTGATACTGCCAAAGCCTGCAAGAAAAAAAGAAAATCTGGTTTTGACTATGTAGAAGATGGCAAAAGGTGAAACGGACACAGAAGACTATCTGTAATATCTTTTGCCTTCACCAGCATGCTGGAAAAAAGGATTCCTTTCTTGAAAGCAAAAACATAATCCTCATATGTCAAGCTGATGAGCGTTACTGCTTTAACAGCATGACATGCTCCAACAAGGGGAAAGTTATCCTGGCAAGGACTTGACAGAGAAAACATAAGGAAGACAAATGTTTTCAAGTTCCATGGCTAACACTCTGCACTGTAATTGATTTGAGCATCTACTGTAAATATAAAAACATGTGTTTAAATATTTGTGTAAGTGGAGAAGAAAAAGTTATTCGAAAAATCCAAACCAGACTCTGACATTTTGGTATTTCTACAGGAAGTCTCCCTTTCTGGGCTCACCACAAAAGAAACTTCTAAACTCCTGACTAGTGTCATGTATGTTTTTATAATGCCAAGTTCTAACATCAGAAAGATCAGAAAAATGAAATGCTCAAATCAGGAATGCTGACAGAACTTCAGTTTGGAGGTGCTTACAGTTTTGAAAAACAAGGGGGCAAACGTGTTTGGTTTCCATCAGGTTTCAGTCTAAACATCTGCCATATGCATAAAAAAATTAACAAAGTTGCAATATTTTAACTTGCTTTTTTTTTTTTCCCAAATTGTACCATCTAAACCATATTCTTCCCTATTTTGAAGGTAGTCTCTGTAAGAGAAACTACGAACTAAAGCAAAACAAATTGTGTTTGTATGTTAAGTGTCCAACAGGTCTGTGCATAATTATCTAAGCGGCTTACATCTGTAATTATGGGTGACGTTACTTTAGACTTGCACAAAAAGCCTGCAGTGCAGATTTTCACAATTAGCTGCCTGCACTACCATTGGCTTATCTGTGTACAAAATGAATAGTGCTAAGTATTTGCAACTACCTAGAAGCTGAGCAACTGGCACACCCCTTTTAAATATATTTGAGCCCTAATGGATAGTAAGGTAACAAACTAACAAATTTTGTTTTGCAAAGTGGGAGTGGAAGAGTTACCTACTTTTTCTTTAAAGCAGTATTTCTATACCCTAAACAGCACTTTGATTACTTTCCAATTACAGATATCTTCCAGAATAGAAGTGCTAATGAAAATTAAGTGTTCAAAAATCTATTCAACAGGCAAAAGGCTACAATCCCACAATGAAAAGAGACAACTAATATGTTTTTTTAGGGGGGAGGGAAAAACCCAAACAAACAAACCACAAAACAAACAAACTTTAAATGGGTACCAGTAAATTAGAAACTATGATGCAGAAAACAATATGGAAAGGTAAAGACAAAGTTGCAATTGATGCAGCTAAGCAGCATAAAACTGTTTTTAACACATAGGGAAAAAAAATATAAACAGTGACATAACTTTTTACTAGCTGAGGATAATAAAATTGCCAAGAGGCAAAAAAAGCCGTCATATGCAATAAATGCTTTACATTAGGAAACAATTAAGATGACGTATCTTACGAATAAAATGAAGTACTTTCCAATGCTTTAACAGTGGTAGAGATGTTCCCTTTATTACTGAGAAATTTTTAGAAGTAAATACTTGTGATGGCAAGGTCAGATGATTTGTTCCTAATAATTCTCAAAAAGCTGGGATTGAAGCCTCAAGTCTACACACTGACAATTTTACAACACTGTAGTTTCCTGTAGTATCCTGTCAAGTGCTTTGTTCAACACTTAACAGAAGCTGTTCACAAGACAAGACTATGATGAAGGCAAACAAATTTCAGGAGTGGAAATCATATCTATTCTTGCACTCAGCAAGTTCTATCAATTCCCCTTGAAACCAGGGGCAAGACACAAGATTTTGCCGCAACACTGGTTCTAGACTCACAAATGCATTATCTGGGACTGCCACCTCTACTGCTGTAAAATATCCAGTAGGATTAGACTCTTCTTCCAGAAAAACATCATGGGGAAGAAGGGGAAAGCAGGCATCTAAACAGATCCTGAAGTGACCTCTTGACATCAAAATGGTACACTGTCACTGATTCAATCTTAAAGAAAAGGAGAGAAATCTAGATGAATCAGTAATACTGTGCTTTATTGAGCAATGCAAGGTGCAATGCTAGCACCAAATAGCACCTGAGGTGCTAGAGTTGCAACTGCTACAGCTCCAGAACAGACGTGACAGCATCTGAGCTGGTATCTCCCGCACCAAAAGCCACATGAATGAACTGGGAGCGTCTGGAGAACTGCCACTAGAAGTAAGCATCTGGAAGAGGCCAGAACTAAATAAATTTTGGCTATGTTGATGTTATTTTAACTGGTCTACAGTAATCCACAGTATCCAGGAGTCAGCATTCTGGTTTATTCCCATCTGCATTTTAACTTCAGAACTTTGATATCCAAACACATTTATTTTCCTTTCACATCAACACAGCATCTGCAGCCCTTTCTTCATCTCAAAGCAAGCCATATTTGCTATCCCCCATTCTGATAGTCTTCCCTTTAGACCTGCATCCCACTTCTGTTACCCCAAATGCCTAATTCTTCAGAGGTAGGAAGGAGAAAAAAAAAGGAAGATGAAATTCTCTCTCTCCTCCTACACATACATAGAAGGGAAGGCTTTCAACATGCAGGTTGTTGTAAACTTCTGTAGTCTTTCAAAAGTTCCGCTTATACGACACAATCCCTTGTCATCTGACTGGAGTGGAGTTCAGAATGAAGGTTTCATAACACAGCCTTCTACCCAAAGTCTGAGGACAACACTTACGTAGTGCCAGCTGACTGGGTTAAATTAACTACAAAAGTCCTTGAGGCCACCGCAACTCTTAAGCCAGGTTGATTCACACAGATCCTTTTGCTTTTTCTTTTGTGAAAAATGTCATTTCGTACAACAGATCAAGTATTGATCTATTGCTATATTATAGGCCCAACATCCTCAAGGAAACGCACAGAGCTGGGTTCTGCTTATAAAACAGAAAAGAATTACCAGTTTCTATCTACAAACTGGCCTTTAGTTGAAACTGGTATCTTAGAAACGGAAGAAAAGTTACAAAAAGGAAATTAAGATTTCACAAGTTATTTCAAAATTAGAAGTAGAAAGACTCATAAATCCTTCAAGAGTTATTAATGATCATACACCTGAGGGTTCTCTGTAAATACTGAAAAGAACATCTACTGACTAATGGAAGATTTACTGAAAGGACAAAAAAAATGAATGAACAAGGGAGGTTAATTAAAAATACACCAAAATAGAATGAAGGTCTGCATATTTAATGTTAGCTTTATTACACCCTATAGACAAGCATTGTTAAGCATCCTCACGTTAACATTCAACTTCAGTTAGTTGTTTGCATTTTATCAGTGCTGTATTTCCAACACAAGCAGCTTTCTGTGCTTTACTGTTTGAAATAACCACAGGCTAACAATGAATACGTGAAACTATTCTTCACCTCATTAAAGAAAAGTCGTAGCTTAAAATGCAACCTCAATAGCACAAAATTCAGTTACATTAACTTTCGTACAATTCAACTATACCTTTCTCCCCAGAGGACTAAATACCCACAGCAGCAAGCAGAGCTGCCTTGTTACATGAAGACATGTTAAAAAACTAAGCAACTCCTACAGTTCCTGCTGTAACTGTGGCTCCCCGGCCTCCTCATAGAGGAAGGTGACTTCTATATAAAGCGATTTGTATACACTACTGCAGACTACAAGCTTCTTTGCAAGCAGGCAACAACACTGACTTGATTTCATGACATTTTCTTGATCCTAAAATTAAAATCACACATCTATTTTTATTCCATATTACAACATACTTACTCTGCCATTACACGCCTGACGTTATTGGCATATAACACTGGATTTTTTCTTTCTTCTTCTGAAGGAATATACACTGGTAGAAACTGCATACAGAGAACTGAATTATACCAAGAATATTTGACATTTTAAACAATCTCTATTATAGCACTATGGTGAAAGATGGATAAAGTTTGTTGCTAGTTACAAAATTATATTAACACAAGGACTACAAAAAAAGTAAAAACTGAATTCTTAAATGCTTAAGGATGCATCGTACTTCTAGAAATTCATATAACTGACTCTGCTCATTTCTTACCTTGTGGAGTATAGAGTTTTATCTTCTTTTCATAAGTGGGACCAGGAATTTTTAAATAATTTAAAAGTATTAGTATTTTCTTGCACAAACATTTCTCTTACATCCTGTATTGTTCAGCTCTTTGCAGATAACCAAGAAAAGCACCTGCTACATGAACATTGTTCTATAGCTTAAATATTAAGAATTCAAATTCTCAGGACATCAGGTATTAACTGTTCCCCCTGCACATTTTGAAATCATGTATGACTGCTCTAATGTACACATCAGAAGTGTTTTTATCTTCTGTTGTTGGAGGTTTTGAAAAATTTCTCCTTCAAATTGGACACTGGATATTAATACTCAATTGAAAGAAAAATTCTAAATAAATGCAGATGGCCACAGAATCACAGAACAGTTGAGGCTGAAAGAAGAAAATTAAACCAGAACTGCTGGAGACCTGCAACAGAAAAGGCAGCTTTCAGAATGGGATGGCCTGTATGAAAAGACCTTCCACCTTTTAGCTGTTTTTAAGTGTTTATTGAAATATGATGTAAGTACCAAGATTGTGGCCAGTCTCACCTATAAAAACCCTCAAAATATCCCAATTCTGCCGAGTAACGAACTTCTCAGGTAGAAGGAACAAGAAGGGATCATTCCAATTCCCACCCCTGCTCAGTACCAGACAAACAATTCCCTTAGTGCAACGCAATGACATATTTACGCACTAAGTGAATAAAAGGTTTGTAATCCTGTGGAAAGCTTCTGAAGTAGAAATCAAATTTGTAATAAGCTTAGTTGTATTTCATATAATTACCTATCGATATTGCAAAATGGGAATTATGATCCAGAAATTTCACACTCGTCTTTAAATAAGAAAGTAAGAATTGGGGAACAAATATAAAAGTTTACAATTTAAGCAAATACTTCTCTAACTATGAAGTAAGCTCTATTTTCAGAATCGCATAATGGTATGATCAGCAGTACCCAAAATGCTGCCGTTAGATGTCTGCCTAACTGTCTTAGGAGTATTCAGTGACGGTCAATTCTTTAATGTATTCTGGGTTTTGCTACAGTTTTCCCTTTATGCACAGCTGCAACTGAAAACATACGACTCCTGTCTTCTAGGTTTACAAGCAAGTACACCAGCCTGACATGATGTAATATACAAAAGGACACAGACTGTGAAGCTAACAGAGATGGAGACAAGTGTTCCTTCAAGTTCCAAGCCCAGTTCTACGTCTTTTACTTTGAGTTGCAAACTGCTATCAAGTTATTCACCCAAACACAGGGCAAGTTTGAATATGAGGCAATTTCAGAGGTGTTCTACGTGTCTGTGCCTAACTGGACAGAAATACGACGATCATTTCGGCACCACTAACAAAACTAAGAGAAGAACTCTCAGCTGTTGCAGACTGTGATGGATGCATGAACACTGAAGCTGACAGGCCAGCGAAACAAACTGACATGAGCCAAAACAAACTACATGTGCAGGTGATCACACACCCCTTCACAAGACTGCTTGTGCGCCAGTTCCAAGTACAGGATGGATGGATGGATAAGCAGGCTGATATTTATAGTAACCTATTATAAAATCTACATAGATGCTTGCTTCTCAATATGCATGCTGGATGATGTGTATGGTATGCCAGAACATACATTAAATGCAGAGAAGCCCAGATTAACAAACTTCAGATCCTGATTGCTGGCTGTTAGACCTTACGAACTATCATTTAATCAAAAACATACTGAAGTTGTGTTGTTTTGCTGCACATCTCCCTGAGTTATCGAATATTCAGCAGTAATTCTGGTATTGAGGCTGGTTGGTATTTGACATATTCCTGTGCTGATGGAGCAAAGCAGGAATAAAAGCCAACAAACTTTGAAGACTAGGGGAAAAACATGACTTTGAACAGAGAACAACTCATTTTTCCTCTACAACGTTATATCTGCAGTACTTGCTTACAAAAACAGATTCAACAAGTAGCTCTCAAGTACTCTGCCTCATACTTGCGACCAGCCTTGCAAACAGCCCTGCTCCTCTGCCCTCTGCCTGCTCCTGCTTTAGTACAGTGTATTTCAGAAAGTCACTAGCTTTTTTTTTTTTTTAAATATAAAAAAGACAACCAAAGATGATAACTTGTCCTTGTGCAAGTTCTGTATGTGCTACAGAAACTCAGCATCCTGCCAATCAGCTGTTTTGTCTTATCCCTGCATGAGGCAGTTGTTCCCTGGCCCTTCTACCAGAAACAGGCCACTGTTTTGGAAATAAGATTTTTTTATTAATAGCTGAAAGCATACAACTAAAGTGATAACCAACAACAAATTTCTACAACAGATACAATTGTTCAGCGGCTGGTATTCTGTGCATTCATTATTTTTGAGAAGAATTTACAGCATAAATCACTAAACAGAGTGTAGCAATGATAAATACTGTGATTAGTATATGTTATATGTTACAATAGCAACATCTATGTTATGTAAATATGTAATAGTTCTTCCTACTAATTTATCCTGCCATCACTCAGAGAAAAGTAGTTACTTAATTATTAAAAAATGTAAGCAAAAGGACTGCAGAACATGTCAAATATCCTATAACACCTTTAGAACACCATACTTCTCCACAAAAATGTAATTACTCTCCGTAAAATGCATAAGGACAGCAGTTTAAAAGGAAAGGTCTTAATTGTTTTTGCGTTTTCACTACAATAGTCTTCAGCCTTATGATCACATAGTGTTCTCCTCAAAACAAAGTTAAGAATATACATAAATTTTCTTTCTGTTTTCCAATTTCAAATTCTGAACACTGCAGCCTAATAAAAAAATTAGCCAGACATTCAATAACCTATCTGGCCTATAAGAAATCACTTACAATGATTTTTCTCTAGAAGATAGTCCTTAGTTTGTACATCAGCATTCACACACTTGGATATCTAACACATACAGTTGGTATACTAGCTGGAATAGCGATCAGGTGATTAAAAGACAAGAAACTTGTTCACAAAAGACTCTCTAAACACAGTCAGAACTCTAACTACTCAATTTAAATGAATAAGAAAGTAAAGCCTTAAGCCAAGTGGAAAACTGTATTTTGTTTTTCCATTTTTAGGCTACGTTTTCAGATACAGGAGCCATTTGTTTAAAACATAAGTGGTATTTTAACCTGTTTTTTTACAGACTGTGTTAACATATAATGTTTGAATACAAACGTTTACTGCAGAATTAAATACAATATTATGTATTCTGATATTGCTCAGAATACACTGGGGTTTTTTTACTGACCTCAATTTCCACAGAATTGTGAAACTGACACAAAGTAAGCCACAGAATTTCTAACCTAAAAGGGGAAAAAAAAAAAAGAAAAAGGAAAAGGATGGAGGAAAAAATTTACATGTAGTGAAACAGTAGTACATTATGCTCCAAAGTCTTCAAGTAACATTCCTACTTGTAGGTATGACCATATTCACATACAAAATTAACAGAAAAGGTCTTTCAGAGTACTTCTATACATTACATTCTGTAAGGTGGAACAAAAGCAATTTACACTGAAGTTGCATCTTAAAAGATACCCAAAAGCAGGAAGACAAGTAGTAATATGATATACAGGTACTAACACATACAGTAAGATATGATGTATTCATAGTGTGTGAAGAAAGAGTAAGTCTGTTTCAGGAAAGTGCTGTATTCAGCATAGAGTTGGCAAGATTAATTATAACCACTAAGATTTTATCATTACCTTGGTTTGGAATCAAAGTTCATTATACTTCAGAAGTCTGTTAATGAAATGCAGTACATGTGTTTTAGTAGCCTAAGACACAAGATACTGGAATAAACTTGACCTTAAAAAGCACTAAGATTCAAATCCAGGAAAGGATTTAGTAAACCTAAATTAGTGAGCAGCGTCAGTAGCCACATTTTATACAGTATTTAGGTAGTTACAGCAGTCAATCGCTGTGAGGGGAGGGCTGGTCAAAATCCTCTTAGGCAGATAAAGTGCAGTTCCTAAAAGCAACACCCTACTCATTTTGCTATACACTCATTCAGGGCTGCAACAAGTTTTTCTTCCCTTCTTTCCTACTGAACTTCCAACATATTAAAGCAAAGTAAAGGAACAAGAACAACAGTGGAACTTGTGATCTGAAGTTTACATCACTGACAGGAAACGTGGAAGTCTGATTTCTAGGTCCTTGTCCAAGAGCATTAAAAAACCCCAATAAGTTACAAGTAAACTTTTCTCTCTGCCAACTCTCTGTAATCCTCAAAGATTAAACATTAAATTATAAATACCAATTTAAAAAACTGATAGAACCTGTATCTAACTCAAGTCTGATGTACAGAAAATTTAAGTTGCACACTATAGTCAATCTTTGTTTTCAAGGCAGAGTCAGTTGATCTGCTCTCAACACTGTCAAACTAGTAAGAACGTTACTTTCCATAAGTGGAAAAAAGTGTATAGTTTCCATGTGACAAGTTGTTCAATCCATTTCATAGGCCACACCAACTTTGAACAAACAGAATACTCCTGGATGCATCAACATTTGCAGATTAAGCATTGGCTAACACTACGACAGAAAAAGAGACATTTGCTGAGAATGTGAAGACTGTATCAGTCTTAACAGTATTTTCTGCTAAGACATCAGAAATACATTTAGGTCACTCAGGAGAATTAATCCTAATTAAGTAAAGCTGTAATTTAAACTGACCCAGTGAATTTGCATAACATCACATGCTGCCTCCGATTCTGATTCAGCTTTAATTTAATTTAACTTTATTAGCAGAGGTCAGCACTTCCAAATAAGGGGTTCGTACACATTAAAGTGATCTGAGGCAACACACCTACAAGTTTCTTCCCTCTTCTTCCTCCTTCTATGTGTTCTTGACTCCTCAGGTAGGACACTAAGCTGGCAGTAAGCTATTCACCTTTCTCCCCTCTGCCTGAGCTAATTTGCTAGATGAACTGCAGTGCAAATGCAAGGGAAGAGGTAGGAACTCACAAGGAGAGAAAAGAAATCCCTGCATGCAGTAAGTGCTGCAGTACCTACCTACTTCAGACACTATCATGGATTAATCTACTTCCAATGTGACAATTTAACTGAAAGCTGAAGTTTTAAAAGTCATCAATGATTTCCTCAAGTCTCCAAATCTAGATGTGTCCTTAATTAGACCTGGTTCCTAGTCCATTTGAAGGTGCAAAATTAATTGACAAAATTCTAAGTTACCTGAATCTTGGCTAATTCCAATGGTTTCCTCATTACTACTAAAACATAGCATCTCAGGTGGGACATTCAAAACAATAGTTCCCAAGGAGCAGGCTAATGGCAACCCACTAACCATAGCATCCAACCCCCCTTTACTTAGGGTTCAAAATTTCTTGTTTTGACCTTCATCTAAACACTTTAGAACTTCTACTCCATCCTCAACATGAAAATGATGCTAAAATTTTTTTTTCAACAAGCACAAACTGCTTCATTTAGTATTTTATATTACACGAATTTGCTAAGGAACCTCTAGAATAACATTTTATTTAAAAAAAAAAAAAAATCAAAGTTACATTCAGGCAAGATAATGGAAACAGTATCTCCAAATTCCCTGAGTGGGTTGACTGCTTCTGTGGGACTAGACCAATTTCAAACAATAGCCATGCAGATTTTATACAGAAACACACTAAATCGATTTGCAGGCAATAAAATATGTAGAGCAGAAGCAAGTTGTTTTACTTCAGGTACTTGGCTACAAAAAAAAAATATTTTTGAAATAAAAACCTAAAGTCCATTCTGCAAACCACCAAGATCATAGCAGCAGAATTACAGTTTACACCTGGATTCCTCTAACATTCTATCATCATAATTAGGGAATAACAGATAAAAGACAAATTAATCCCAAAGAATAATCCAATAACCAGCAATTACTACTTGACTATATACACCTCTAAGACATGTAAATAAAAACTAGTGAAGGAAAGCAATCATGATATAAGCAATAAAACATAAACCACTTACGCTCCTGGCCCTTGCCATGTCCATGTGATTGTATCCTAAGAAAAGAAGCATGACAGTTGTGATTAATTATTGTACTTTAAACTTTTGTTACATTATAGATAGTATAACTGATGATACATGACTAAAAGGTTTTCACAGAAACTTCAATGCCCTCTTTCCAAACATTCTTAGCCCCAACAGGAATCAGCCTGCCTTTTATGAAGCTAGGAAATACCCAGTAATCATCTCTTAAACACAGAATATCTATATTCATAAAACATTTAAAGATCCAGGGATTCTTCTAATGCTGCTGTTAGCCTTGGAAAAGGAACTTATTTACTGTAAGCTGATGTTCCTTGATATCACAGTCCACCTGTATTTTCCTAACCCATCCTGCTTGACAGAGTGTCCCTCAAGTGTCCCTACACTTTACTTGGACCTCCCAGCAATAGATATGAACACTCTGTAACACTTCTGAAGTGTTTAGTACCTGTGGAGATGACAAAGGAAGTCTGCTGAACTGACATGAAGCAGTACGACAAGTAAGACCTTATGTCTTACCTCAAAACAGTATTTTTCCAGTTGCCTTTACTCACAGATGACATACATCCACCTACCTGATCCAAGAATCAAAAGGTACATTATAAGACGGCTAAACTCACCAATATATTCTCGGGCAAGACCAGCAGCACTTTTAGATGGCTGAGATGAACAGTGCATAAAACACTAAGAGAGGACAAATAGCAGTGAAAGACATGAACAAGATGCAAATAGCAAAAAGGGAACGGAGACCTGGAAATGAGTATGTAACAGGTGACAAGAAGGAATGACAATAAAGGTCATCACATTTTTTAACTGTAAGACTAAGAAACAGAATAGGAAAAAACTGCCATACTTGGAGACTAGATGTAAGCGTAGAAGTAAGAATCCAAAAACCTGAAAATGAGTTCCAAGCTATTTTTCTGACCAACTGGGAAAAAAACGTACAAGTCATCAGTGGAAAGACAAGAGGACTCCGTAAATTCAGGTTTCTAAAAGACCAGATGAGACAGATATTTCTATCCACCTTCCGAAAACATTCCAGTTCAGTTCTATGCTACCATCCCAAACCATTTCAGACAGTTTAAGTGATCACGTGTGCCATGATCTTGAAAAATCAATTCAAACTCATGTTTTAACTACCATTTAGAGCAAACGGCTGTCACGAGTAAATAAGAAAGAAAGCAACACATCCATAAAAGGTGAAAAATGTGATTAATGTGACAGATCAACAGCTTCGAATAAGGTCAATGTATCATGAATAACTACTAAAAATTTAAGTCGACTTTCAACAATTATTTTAAATCAAACAAAATATGATAAAGAATGATTCCATCCCTACCAATCAACATACGTGCATGAAAATAGACTTCTCCACATGATCTTGTAGAACTTTACTGTCTATAGTTTTACCATTAAACTGTTTTGGCAATTTTGATGTGTCTGATAATACTGCAAGTAAACATGTTATGGGGTTTGGTTTTTCCCCAAGGAACTTTCATCTACAAGCCCTGACCATTGCAATGTAGATAGCCGATAATTTCTCTAATCAGAAACTACATCTGCCATATAGAACACCACCACAGCAGGACACATATCCAACTCGGCTCTCTAAATTGCAACAGTGTAGAAGGAGACAAAGAAAACAGTGAGCTCCATCAGGGTACCTTGCCTGGGCAATGGATCACTGAACAGTGAATAGGGATTTCCAGAATCCAGATATTGTGTTAGCTAGCTGGCAAGACAAACTCAAATAAGCCATGTATCTATCAGCAATCCTGCGAGAAACCCCCAATCTGAATGTCACAGCACACATGCATGCTTTTTCTCATCGAGAACATCAGGATGCAGCAGGGATGACTACTATAAATGCTACACAGTGGAAAACAGGATTCTGTTCTGCAAGAGGCAGACTGATTTTGTAGGAGACTCCTGCTAGCATATCCAATATTTTTATGATCAAAACAGCAAGAAGAAGATGGGAAGTGGTATTTTCCATACCTAGTTTAGCTACCTTTTATATTTAATCACAGCTACCAGCTTATGCTTATGGACAGCATTCACTTTGAAACTTTTGCATCTAGATAATAAATCCTTTGAATTGTGTGGAAGTACATCTTTCATATAATTTGTATTTGACATAAGAAGATACTAAGAATCATGCCAGGCTTCAAACAGCAGACTGGCTGTGTTTTTACGTGCTCAATCAACCCTGATACACCAAAGCTGCACAAGAGATGCTGCCAAACCTCTTATCAAATAGCACAGTTACCTGTGGAAGACACTTGGACATAAAAATACATTTTAAATGGCTCTGTGATATTTAAACAGGTACATAGACGTTCATAACTACCAGCACTCTAACAGAAAATTCAAATGAAGGAAAAGCTGTATACATAAGGAAAATTAGTGTCAAAATGAACTGCAAAAAGCATTGCTGAAGAACCTACAGGATGGAGATATTAGAGCATTTTTTTTTAATTAGAATATAGGTAATAGCTGTCTAGCATCTAATAGACAAAATACTACCAAACTAGATAAACAGAAGCAAATTTTGAATTTCAAGTCTAAACAACATTTTAAGCCTTACAATTTCTTTCTGCTCATGCATCAAGAGGAGCAACATACTAACATACTAGTCCCTAAAGAAACAGACACAGGACCAGAGGCATCATCTACTGCAAACAATCACAAGCCCAAAGAAGAAAGGTATTCAGGGGGTAACCCTGACTAGAAAAAAAGTTCTTCATGGCAACCAGAACTAGATTTATTTGCTAGAAGAGAACTGAATTTACATCATCATTTTTTGCCACGTTTCAGTCCACCGCAGGACAGTAGTATTTTACCTACATGGTAAAACTACCATGTTCTTGAATAGAATACAAGGAAACAAACATTAAGAGTCCATACACCTACTACATTCACCCCAGACTCTGATCTCCAAAAGCCTTCCAAAACAGTCAGCTGCACTCAAGTCCAAGACTGTTCTCATCTGTACTGTGGAACTCAGAGCAGGCAGTTCAAGGTAAAACCAGTGGGGTGACTGCACACAATGCATATCTGGAATTCACTGGCTAAGCAAAGATCTTAAGAAATTAGTTTCTAAACCTAAAATTATAATATGCAGCGGGTCAAACAAGGCAACAACAGGAAGCCAGAGACAATTAAAGTTTGCTAGAAATGCTTAGTGTATGAAAAACAATGTTCTCTCCCTACTGTTGTTCTTGCTACCTACTCTTAACCGCATCCTAACCAAAATAAACCTCACCTTCATATATCACACCGTACTCCTTCCTCTCCTCATTCTAACTTTGCTGCAACTCTTCTGCAGCCCCTAAGCTAATCTAAAAATTAAATAGTAATAGCAGTTATTCTCCCCCCACCCCTTAATGCTTAGTGGAAGTAGACCTTGGGAGGTTAAATGACTCAGTAAGGCACTGAAAACCTAATTGTTTTACTTTTTCCTAATACTTTTAATTGCTGTAAAGTTCCATAAGCAGATTCAGGCCAACTCCGATGGATATCTATATAAATATTTACAGTTTCTTTTATGACATTTTGCAATAATATAAAAAAAATTATGAAAAATTTCATTAAAATTTACATTCATTTACCTCAATGTAAAAAGCTCATAATTTCTGTTAATAGAGTATTAGGAATTTTTAATATTAGTTTATAAACATTGCATATTATGTACTACAGGCAATAAGGATATTTCAGTATGAAAATGGATTTTTGAAGATACTTGCGAATTAATGTTTAATAGCTTTATATTGTTTGATATTGTTAGAAATGTTTACTATTAACCAAAAGTAACAAGGTATATTAAGTATGACATAAGGCACGCACATATTTGCAAATTAAGCTGGCAGTGCAATAAAGGTTTAAAAATATTTTTTGAGAAGTATCTTTCTTCTTGAAAAATAAAACAATTATGTAACGAAAAGTCCCAGGCAACCTGCTACAAAGCACTTAGTACTATATGAGCATAACAGGCTGCTGTACTTGTTACTGTGAACTAGTTGACTGCCATCACACCCTGTCTCAGTCAAGAGCAAGTGGTGGTCTATGTATATTAATTTTGCCTAGGTTCTTTTATTTTTTAATCAAGCATATGTTTTGTATCAACCTGTAAATTGACATAAAGAACAATGGATGGAAACACTTTAAAAGATAAGCACTCAGGTACCAAGAAGAAACAAAATCGTTCCTTAGATCGAGGGGTTGTTAGTGGGCTAGTCAGAGAGAGACGACATGAGATCTTCTGATGTGACATGCAAAGAGGCAAAGTAATCCTTATTTTACTTCTGACACTCCTCCCATCCTCCCCTAAATAACTTCTATTTTAGAAGGGGACAGACTGGACCTGAAAATAGCCCCAGAGGGCTAAAAAAGAAACTTCCAAGTATAAAATCTAGCAAAGTTCACTAGGAAGCATCTTCTAATTAACCGAGGAATGCAGACAGACAGGATTCTGGCTGCAGTAGAACAGGATAGTATCTACACCAGGTAAACTGAATAATAATATTAAAAAAAAAAAAGAAAGTCCCTCTTTGTGCTTTCCTGTAGGCTTGATCTTGAAGTAGATCAAGTGAGCTCTGCCTTCATTTGTTTGCCTGTGTGTTTACAAGCATTTGTAACAATTGTTTAATTTAGATATTGTAAATAAACACTGTAATTTCAACGTATAATTTACGTGAATCTGATGTATGTTGAAGGACTACTCCAGATTAGCTAGTGTCTAGCATTCCTTAGCCAAGTGCACAGTGAATGTAAAACCTGGACAATGAGACAGCTTATAACGGTGCCGAGGTCCCCAACACATTATTCTATTATCATTTAGCTAGTTGTGTTAATTTGTGACTGACAACCCCACAGGCAGGAGGTGCAGAAGCATCTTCCAGCAATAAATGATATTAAGAAAACTCTCCAGCACACACTGCACTAACAGGGAGCACATGGGAACACAGATCCTAGACAGAAATTGAGTTTTGTCTTGTCATTTGTACAGTATTTCTTGTAACAACCTCAATAACTTTCAGAGCACTGTTTTAAAGGATTAACCTAATAAAATAAGAAACATTTAAACTGTCTCAGTTAAGACTATTTATATTGCTAGAGGCTTAAGGAATACACACTTAGCCAATAAGCATTTATTAATGATTTCCAATTTTCTAAATCTAATTATCTAACCTAGAAGATTACAGAAGTGCCAATGTATTTAGAGGAAAATGCCCCATATTTACTGCAAGCTGAACTTACCAGTTTGTTTGGATAACGTAAAACCACTGGCTGTACAGGAACTCCAGGAATAAACGCCCCTAGAAGGCACATATGACACATCATTACTTTATAGTGCATTTCGGTGCAGAAGAAATTTATTACAGTAAAGAAAAAAATTATACAGTTACTGGGCTGACATGCATAGGAATTAGTTGATAGTGAAAAAATAAGATCCAAAAGTAGCCTCAAAAAGAATCTAAAAAGCAAGCACTGAAGAATGACAATGTATACCCAACTTTTCAGAAGATAAATAATTAAGAATGCTTGCTGGCATTCTCTAAATTATCCTCTACCACTTACATAAATTGTCCTGTACACAAGTCAAAGCCCAGTACCAAATTCAGCTTGATAAATGATTAAAAAAATATGAGTATGTGCAAGATAGTTAAGTCAATATATTCCCTGTAGTCAACAGTATTTTTTGGTAAAGAACCTAAGCTTTCTTGTGCAAAAGAAGCTTTCTATTTTTAGCTGAGCAACATCAATTTATAGGAAATTTATCATCTCTGAAGTAACAGAATTAATTTAACTTCTTTTCTCCCACCTTAATTCCCCTTAGAAGGGCTTATTTGTTTATTATGTAGCTATGGAAAACCCAATAGTTAGAAAGTACTGAACTAGAGCTATTGTACAGAAGTATTGCTTCATTTCATATGAAAATTATAGTTCTGATAAATAAGTAGCACAAGATCTATAAAATGTCATTTGCTAATAATTTTCTTGGTTTCTAGCACAAAGATTGGGTAAGCATAACTATCTTGCTCAAGATTTCTCTAAACATCTTTATCTTGTGAAAACAATAAAGACAGTCTTCACTCCAACTATGTTTTTGATAGCAGTTTACTAAGTTCTGCCTAGTATTTTGATTAAAATTAAGAACTGAACGATGGAAGTATACTGTATTCTTAGCATTACATTTGCTTTACAGAATAATTGCACAGATGTAAAAGAAGTAATTGTTAATGGAGTGTAAACATTTTTAAATGAAGGTTGTCTGAATGGGATCCTGCAGAGATTTGGTTCTTGGCCCAGTGGTACTTTCTATTCAGTCTCCAAAAACAACAGCCTAAACAACTTTTGAAAGAATCCGCAGATGACAAAATCTGAGTCGTAGATGACAAGACCACCATTTAAACAAAACTAGACTAGTTTGCCCTGTATGACTAGCTTGCACAAACACAAAACCAAAAAAACTGTGCAGTAAGAGCAAGGAGTGTGGGCCACATGAGTAGAATGGGGAAAGGCATCCTGAAAGCAGTTACTTGAATAGAGACCTAAAGTACTTTGATATAAGCAAGGAATTTTGAGGCAAAGGATTTCTGGGAGGCTGGATGGATACAGAAGCAGGTTCCAGTAGGAAAAGTGAGACAGTCAAGAGGCAGACAGCAGCATGTATTAGATCAGAGGAGAGGAAGATAGAGTGGGGATTTGAGGCAGAAAGTATATGGTGCCTGGAATGTCTATGGCACAGAGGGAAGGCAGGAAATCAGAGCTTTAATGAAGGACTCAGGCTGGTTTTCAAAGCATGGCCAGGATTCAGGTGGAGAGAGAGGGAGAGTAAAGAGCAAAAAAAGTGGATGTTCTCCTAACCACCACTCATTCATCTAAAAAGGTAAGAGCCGAGAGGGGAGGAAGAAAAGCTTTTTGAATGTTTGTTCAGGAGACAACACTGAGATTCCTTCAGCCAAATGAATCAGTGCAAGGAATCACAATGCTGACTCACTGCATGATATTCTAATAGCGATATGTAAGTTGTAAGCAACACAAAATATAAGACACACAGTAAGACCAGAACACATTGAGCTAGGCAGAAACCTAGGAAGAGTCAAAAAAAAAACCCAACACATTCACAACTGCATCTCTCATTGTAGCCTCCACATTCACTGTCTCCCTACCTACATCATAAAGGCAAGTTCACATTAAACAGTGGTGGTTCACTGCAGTATTGGCATTTCTGCCTATTGTAACTGCAGTTTACAGCTGCAACAATGTTCAGTGTTATAACCTCTACTAATTTGATAAGCTAAAAGGGTGATACTAACTGAAAAGAGCTTAGAATGTGGATGTTAATTAAAAAAAAAATTGTAAAAAAAAAAAAAGACAGCCTCTGCAACATTGCTATACTGCCAAGATTATTGTGCCATCTTCACCAGAATGCAACTCAAAAGAGTCTGAGAGGAATCAACCACATACAACACAGCAACAAATGCTGCAGCAGCCTGAAATAGATACATGCTGATACCTTAAGCTTTATAGTGTATCTAAATGCTGCATGACAGACCCAAAATAGGAAATGGAGGGGGCACAAAAAAAAAAAAAGACAACCACAAACAAAAACCCAGTAAGAAACATTAGTCCTTCAGCTCATATGCATCTCAGAAGCCAAGAAAAAAATCTGAATTATCTAAAACATTTTGCTCAACAGTGAAACTACAATCCTTTTGTAGCATCAGAAAAATTCTATTCTATTTCCACCCTACTGCAAGATTTTAAACTCCACTTCTGCAACAGCAAGCAAATTACAATGCAAATGGTATTTCACAAAATGAAGATACAAGAACATTCTGTAGAGAACAGAGAAATGCGCATCATACCTACCAGGCTTGAATGTAATTAGACAGGATCGGTTTGTGCAAGTGCCTTCTGGGAATATCATTATCTTGAAGTAAAAAAAAAGTTGACTTTTAAGAAATATTTCAATGTGGGTTTATTTATAAACACATCTTTTCAAAGCTAACGTTAACTGATTACAGTAAAAAAAGTTTTCAGGGAAGACCAGTTCAGTTAGAGTAAAAAAAAAAATAGTGCTCAATAAAGAAGTCAAGTAAAGTTCTGTCTTAATAGTCAAAGTATTTTTATTTATTTGTGAATCTGCCTCTTTCTTGACCTCCGATAATAATTCTATTTGACTGGAACACTGACAGCAACCAGAAACAGTTGTGAGTACGAGAGAATTTTCACAAAAGGTTTTGCTGCTGCTAAAAATATCATATTCTGTTTTGCACCAAAACAAAAATTCCTGCTCCTAAGCTACCTGCTTACAGGCTAAGAAAAGGAAGAGTTATTTTCTTTTTGCATTTATTACTTTGTGCACAGATGTCAGAATGATAGAGGCTGAAAATATCTAAACAGAATCCTACAAGGCAAAAAAATGCTCAAGTTGAACTGAATTCAGAGGAAGAGGTTAGATTGTAAAAAACAAACAAAAAAATGTTTGACAGCAAAAAGCCAAGAACTACTGAAATTTTATTGAGTTATAGAACAAGACATTTAAAGGAAACAAATACATATCATAAGGGGACAAAGCAATGGGCTAGAATTAACATTACTAGTTTTACTGCCCACTCTGGTACTAGCTTGCTAGATATTCTGGAAATCACTTCAGCTCTGCAACTCAGTTTCTTCATCTGTTAGTATGAATATTTACTTTTGAAAGTGCTTTGAAATCTATTGATGAAAGTCATGATGTGAAAGCTATATATCACCTGTCACATTGTTTATAACTGTTTATAACGTTTCTGCAGTCCACTATGCGGACGTAACCACTGTAGTAGTAACAATGCCATGAAAGACATACTGTATCTTAATCTCAAAAATTCACAAGAAGAATGCTTCAAGTTTTCAAAATAATCACATGCTTCTAGAAAATCGAGACCTTAGGTAGACCTTAGACCTCATCCCTTCCTTGTCATTACTCTCTTCCAAGGCACATTATAAATAGTCATATTTCAGGTGCAGAAAAAAACCTGAGCCACTTATTTTAGCAACGTCTTCATCATGTGGTCCAACAGAGAGGTACTCTGGTTATTGGAACATCTGAATTGCTTGGGCTGTCTTGGCCGGTATCGCATCTCCAACAATGACAGTGTGCCAAAATCTTGAGAAGGGCAAGAACACACAATACTCCCCAGGTATTCTACTGAGCACCTGATTATTTTCTTCTTAGAAGACTTTCAAGATCTGCTGTGGTCTGTCCATTTAGTATCACTTAATAGAGCTGTATTCCCATGTACTTACCCAGTCTCCCCTTGAAACACACTGCAATGAAAAGTGGGGGGAGGGGGGGGGAAGAGGGGGAAATCCCACCCCTCACAAACCATCTAAAGCATCCCACAAGGAAAAAAGTAAACTGCAGAACCAAAGCCTGGAAATGTCAAATACCATCTGTCACACAGTAGTAGTATACAGTACCTGTGGCCATTTACCATCAGACTGAGCACGTCTCTTTATCTCTTCAACAGTTTTCCTGCGAGAATCTTGGTCTGACCGAGATACAAAAACCGGTCGAATGTATTTGATTAGAGCTGAAGAGGAGGGAAAACAAAAACAAGCGGAACAGCCTTTATTTCCCTTTTGTTTGAAAAAGATCCCCCCCCAGCAGTCCTCTGGACAGAAATTTTGGTAAAAGTACATAACTGTTTTACTACATTACACTGCAAACTTAAATATTTAGCTGAATTATTGCAGTTTTATTGAAATATTTTCATGAATTCCTGTGAAGAAAGCCATTTTCACAATTTTGGCACTTTGTACTTGTTAAATTCTTAATAAACCAATACACATACATCACATAACTTAAGACATGATTGTACCTGTTATGCATAGCTGTCTGCAACAAAGCAGCTGTGGCTGACTATAGGCCATTTCCTCCTACCACAAAAACCACAAAGTCTATAGCCACCCCCAACCCAGCAAAGGAGCAGGAACCTCCCAAGTGTTTCCAAAAGACATCCTGCAGATCAAACTGCCACTGTTTTTAGAGCTGTTGTCTCCTATGACAGCTCAGCTTCACTGAAGGTACACCATCAAAGATATTCCATACATGGATTATGTTATCTTTTCTGAGGAATCACCATGATCAAAAGAAAAAGCATGCTTATTTTCTGAGCTGTCACCTGTTTGCCTGTTCCTCATACTAGATGAATCCGATCTCAGGCACCCTCTTCCTGGCTCAGTGGGAAACCTCTTATACAGAGCCAGACACAAAATGAGTGTGAGCAAGAATCAGAAACCAATCCACAATATCCTCTCCATGCATGTCTGTCACAAGGACACCGAGGCCCACTTACAAAATAATAAGTAACATATACAACTCTCTTGCAATGTCAAAAAGCACTACAAGAGAAGCATCTTCAGATATACTACTTCATGTTTTTATTTAAAAATAAAAAAACCTTCTTATTTTTGTATCTTGTAATCTTATTCGAAGGTTCAAAAGTCACTAAATCATTAGCTATTCTATTTGCCTAAAATACAAATATAAAATACAGTTTTCATATTTCCAAATACCACAAGATAAGTTCGCTGACACTAGCTGTATAATCTTATTTTGTCAAGGATAGATTTGCTATATTAATGGATCAGCCAGCGCTTAAAGTGTGAAGAAAAAAAAACAGCATAAGGAATTACAGTCCTGTACTCAGCAAAAGCTGCTGATTCTGGTGTTACCCCACCAGCAGTTTAGTCAGCTCTCACCAAAATCCTTCTATGGTTCTGTGAAACTAATCCGTCACACCTTACAGCAAGTCCCCAAACATTCAGCCAGTCTCTGAAATACTGCTTTTATCCCACAAGTTGACGAAGCTTAGGAGACAGTACATCAGAGAAAAAGTTACCATTCTCTTGCACTGCTTCCTACATGCCTGCTCTTAGACAATATCCACAGAACAACGCTTGCTAGGGGAGGCAAAGATCATCATGGGCCAGCTGGGGTTGCTGCTGTAGGAAGGTTAAAAAAAAACAACCCCAAATAAAAACCCAAAACAAATCACAAAACAACCACACACAAAAAACAGGAAAAAACCAAACAGAACATAAAAGATGCAAAGGGAACTATGCTTGGTTTCATAACTCTGTTCGTTTTCTCAGTGATGCTAGTCCTGAGTTTCCCCTACTGCTGCAAATTACTATTCTGTAGCAAAAACATTATCAAGTCAAAAAAAAAAGAAAAGGCAAAAAAGACTTAAACATCCTCAGCCTTCATCCTGAATTTTTTTTTACATTAGACGGAATTCAGGTTACTTCAGGCCAAGGAATGAACAAGATAATTCCAGAGCTCCGAGGCTCATATCTGAGCCATCACTATTTCAACACGTAACATCAAATCTTAGCCTAATGGAAAGACAGTGTGATCATATTAAGCCTTACTTCCTTAGGGATCAGATTAAAAAGCTTACAGAATTCTTGTTTTAACATTAAACAGCAACTTAAGATCCTGTAAGACACCAGCTACCAGGCCCTTAGTGGCTAAGTTCAACAATTTAAGTGAAATTGAAACTCTCAGTCATGAGTAAGAAGCTAGGAAGGGAAGACTAGCTCTGTACCTGCCTTTCCTCATATACTCTTTTCATAACCACTTTTGAAAAGAGAGCATAAGGCTACACAGACCTTTACTCTCAACACATTTTCATGTCCAGTAAATAGACAGGAATCTGAAAATTCAAAGGCTGTACCAAGTTGATCTGTGCAATAAACAGACAGGAGCAGGGCCAAAGGTCTGTAAAGGGAAGCTGAGAAACATACCAAAAATAGATGGACAAGACTGCAATCGTAAGTCAAGTCGAAACATAGGGAAGCCTGGAGACAGCACTGTAAGGCAGTATATATGAGGCAAGGAATAGGCAGAAGTAGAGCAAAGTCAGGGCAGGAGCAAAAAGCAGCATGCGTGAAAATGCTTTAGACAGCTGGCATGCTGGACAACTAAAGGAAAAAAGCAGAACTATGCAATACGCTCAGTAAACAGAACATAATCTTAACCTTCTCTGCTCATCAGTTTAACTGTCCAAGACTGATTGTAACCAGGTAGTGAAAACCACAGCTCGAGCATTCAAGAGATGCCAAAAGAGGTGCTCGCCCATCTCCTCTCATTCCATTAAAACCACCTTTAAATTACAAATTCTAGTGGGCGATGGTAAGACAATCCCTCAATTTACAAAATTGACCTTGCCAGTGACATTATTCCAGCATTTTCTCTAGCAGTGTCAGTTCTACTTGATGTAGTCACTCTCATCCCCAATTTCAGCTCATCACAAGCGGTCCTGAAGACAGGTGACACATGCTGTACTCCACCTTCTTACGCAGGTGCCTGCAGTTTAAACAGTACTGCCAGTAATTCATCCAAAACTCTGCCTTGCAGGTCAGCCAGAATGCCACAGATACACTAACCAAGGGAAAGTTGCTCTAGCACGAAACAATCTTTTTTTAAGAGAGCCTGCAAAAATTCAGTATTGCCTTAATTGCAGGGTGGCAGCTCCAACTCATTGCAGAACCATAACTCCCATGCAATCATTTCAAGCACCAGCTGATGCATAAGCAAAAAAAGGTTCTCTCTGATGAGCTGAACACACACAGTGGTGTCAATGAACTTCTCGGGATAACAGTAAAGAAATAAGGTATCTCATGTCTCTATTTCCAGGCAAATGTGTGTGAGGAAACCTTGTTTCAAATCAAGACATGAAATGCTATTTAACATACAATAGAAGAAGTTATTGTAACACACCATTTAACTTATGCTTGACAGTTACAACCATATAGTAAAGCTATACTGGTAGCATCACCACTGATCTACAAGGCGTGAGAGAACACAAAAAGCAACGGAATGGCAGCGTGGCACTAAATACTGTTCTTCTAAAGTGTATCCATGCACACATTTTTAAGTGGGCAGTTACAGTTTCACCACTGTAGAAACAGCAGAGTGACAGATCTGCTGCAAGAGTAGAGAATGCTGAACCTGAGGCTCTCACTTGGCCTCTCCCCCAAACAACACAAAATCCCATCACGTACATTCCTCTCATACACTGAGATGGCAGCCTATAGAGCCAGTACAAACTGGCTCTGTTTGCATATAACATGGAGGTAGGCTGTATAACACAGGTAGACTTGCATTGGGATATCTGTTTACAGTATTTACTCCTTGATTTTTCCTACTATGGGAAAAAATACAGACCATTTTTCTAGCAGTAGCCCTCTTGTGCGTTCTGTATTTAGTTTTCAAAAACATGAAGGTTAAAGGCTGAAAAGTGCTACCTTGGGCTTATTTATTAAGAGTTGTCTTACTCAAATGAACACGCTCACAAAGTTCTGAACTCACACCTTTTCTAATGAAGTAATATCTAATATTAAAACTGCTCTTTTCTGGAGAGAAGAGAAGAAATCTGCACAGGGCTCAAAAGTCTTCTGAAGGTTATGGGGAAAAAAAACCATTAAGGTTCCAGAATCAAATGACTTCCTGCGTATATGGACACAGAGACCTTAAAATGGGGGGGTGGGGGTGGGCAGAAATCAAGCCCACACACAACAAATACACAGATGGACCCCCTGACAGAAGAGATACCTGGTATAGAGGCAGTGTTAATGGGAAAGTTGTTCTCCCTATTTCAAAGAGAAAGGCAGGAAACATGCAGTCTGTAGGACAAGGAGAGGTCAGTAGTGGGAGGTAAATAATCAGCATTCTCTTTAGCTGTAACAGAAGTTGGGTTGGTCTTTCAAAACATGATCTATTTCCTTTAAGGACTTCTTGAAGGACAAAGACCCTTTTCATATCACAAAAATTGCTGTTTGCTCTCACACCTGCAGCACCTATATGAGGGCATGGCTGTAGGTTTTAGCTTCCTGCTCCCAGTCTATGTATTTTATGAAGGCAATCATGTTGGTTTGCAGGTTTCCTATATACTGTAGTTTGTAACTTCCATAAATGATATTAACTAGGATGCTTAAAAAAAAGTGATGGTGGTTTAGGCATTCCAGCAGCAGTTTAAATGAAAAGAAATTGTTACTGATTTAATGGTGGGGGGGAAAAAAAAAAATCCAACAAGTCCAGGATTCCAACCCGAACGATAAAAGCATACCTATAATACACAGATGACAGTGCAACAATTTTAAGTCTCTCCAAGAGAGCTCCTGTGAGGACTGAAATATTCCAGGACCATCCGGGTGCCCACAGCCTGAAGGAAACAGTGAATTTTGAAACGGAAGTATTTAAAGCAGAGGATGAAATGGATAAGCTTGGCAATAACTTCAAGGTGCTCCTCAGAACCGGGGAGGTCATTTGTGTACTTGAGGCAGGCTACAATGCCAACATAGCATTGGATGTTGGCATTCAAGCTGGTGACCTTAACAGTGTTGTAAGCTGCTGATTTACAGCGTATAAAGAGAAGTCGCCTGTGACACCTTCACCTTACAGCAGGTTTTTCCAAAAGGGGCTTAAGGACTGTTTTGATAAATCTCAGAGGTATTTAAATACGAGATCCTCACTGAAGAACTATGGGTCTACCATGGTTCTCTTCCTTGTGTGCTCTGGAAGGGGGGGGGAGGGCAAGCAATTGGGGTGGAGAACTGGAGGATTAGGTTGCATAACTTCTCACAGAGCTGATGAGTTAAGTAATTGGGCATCATAAGTTCTGAGATGAAAACATACCCAGCTACCATAGCATAAATATTTCCCACTGAATCACTTATTTCTTGTCTTTTAGTCATGATGCTCAAGTAAAGGCCTATAAAGCACTTTCAAAAGATGAGCCTGAACAAAAACTGCTAAGTTTACTAGACGTGGAAAAAAAAAACCAACCCACAATAGAATTGATAGCTTTTACAGCACAGTACGATTCTCCCTTCCTCTGTATCTCTTCTGTATTCTGCCAAGTACAAATGACCTCCTTCCCCTTTATAAAGTTAAGCTAACATATCCCTCCATTCATTTCACAGGTACCAACTTACTCTCTTTTTCAGAGGATGAGGTTACAGATGTTGAGAAGTTAAAGTTTAAATTAGCTTATAACCTTAAATTTAGTTTTTAAAAGTTCAGACCACAGAAGATCTTTGAATCACAAAAGTTGTCCAACAAAATCCCCACCAAATCATATTTACTGACAAATCCTTTTTCCTTCATACTGAAGTATTTCTGCAGTAGCACTGACCACTTCTGCAATGAAAAATAGTAACTTTTATCCAGGTTGCTTTACCAGTCAAAAATAAGGCAGTGAAGTGTAACTATCCAGAATTTATGGAAACAGCTTGTCCTGACTTGAACTGGGGTCCAGTAGACAAAACAGGAAAGTTTAAGTACCTGTGCTGATGAATTAATTGATCGAACTTCTTCAGCCAACATAAGGTGCTATAGATTCATAGATGTCATCTTCCCTTGGCTGCACACTTCACACTAACGTGGTCCAGAGAACTTCACATCTCCAACCTACCAAAACTCTGGAAAGCCATTGTGTAGAAAGACACATCCTTCTCCAACATTGTGGTGATACGCTCCATCTGTTCTGCCATTCTCTACCTACCAGATACTGATTTTTTTTATGATTATTGAAATCTCTTTTATATTTGGGCAAGCAGTTCCTCCCCAGAGTTTGTTAGCCTAGTGTGTGTGCCAAGTGGGTAATTCTCTTCACTACTGACCACTAACTGAAGAGGTCATGACTCTTCCATCAGAGCAAAAGAGCATTATTTTATTTGGCTCTTCTTTCCTTCGTTTTCTTAAAAAGAAGGAAGTTGTCTGAAGGAGTCACAAGACTTAAGTCTGCTTCTGAAATTGGACTTCGTGGTCCAGGAGAGCTGCCTTCAAGTTAGAAAGCAATAAAACTCTCGTACACAAGAAGCACTTGTGGAATACTTCCAATCCCATAATGAAAAGGCTTTTAATCATCCAGACTTACAAGTGGATCAAAAGCTTAATATTCCATGACTGGCAAACTAAGGGTACAATAATACAGGCAGCTGCTCCAGAAACCTATTAAAATACTTGCAGGACCAATCTCGGTAACCAGTTAGCAATCAGATTTTTTTGTGCCCGCTAAAGCACCTGATCCCTCTGGTACACAATGTACAATGACCTGATAAACACTGTCATTACATCAAAAAGCCAACTTACTTATCATATTTGGATATTCTTGGATATAGTTTGGGTTTGAAGGGACCTTTAAAGGTCATCTAGTCCAACCCCCATGAAGATGAAGTAGATGAAGATCTACTCTTCACCCAAAGTCCTCATCCTGGGAAATTATCTTCAAATTTCCTCTGCTGCTTCATTTTTTACATGCTGAAAAGTCTGCTTACAGAGTTAAATGAATGTACTTCATTCAAAACTTCCCAGAAGATTCTGAATGACCATTAACAAGACTCAATTAAGAGACAGCAAGGTTAGGATTATCAATGGCTGGCTCCAAAACTTCACTGGAGATGGTACAAGTTTGCAAGCTTTAGAAAACGGAAGAACAGAATGGAAAAACAGTTCTGACCTCTCTGGGATAAATTCTAGATGAATGTCTAGAGCATTGACAATTCACCACACAATCCAAGAAAAACGTGACCACCTTTTCACAGATTGCGTAAGAGAAATACCAGTTGTCCAATAACATGAAATACATTTTTGTGTGTGTGTGTATGCAGAAAAGTGTAAATAACATTGGAATTAAAATACTAGATCAAAGGAGGAGAGGATAGTCAGAAGCATCTACTTCACAGAAAACCTCTTTCAAGTAGTAAAAGGAAAAAAAAAAATCCCAGCTTCTCCCCACTGGAAAGTTTTCACTGAATTTCAAGCCAAACTAATCATTACAGTGATTACTTACCTCTCTGTTAAGGTCTATTTACTTTAATAACACAAACTGCTGTAATTAATGTTGCTCATATAAAAGTATTCCTCTAAGAAAAAAAAGTTTTTGAACTCTGAATCTCAGTTATGGCCTTTGCCATGCCTCATTTCCATCGCATTTTTCTGAACACTTCATAATGGACTACAGAATTTTTGTGGCTGCATGACATAAAGCAAATGCAGCTATACAGGACAAAATACTCATTTACTTGACTGCACCGCACATTCCAGTAATATTCCATTAAAACACTATATGTAGTTTTCTGGGTTTTCTGTTTTTCTGTAACTGGTTTTGCTCACACGTTAACAAAATCAAGCAAATAATTTTTAAAGTTTATTGCAATAAATCTAGACTTTCAATTGAGTCCTTTAAAAGTTACTTTAAAATTAAATTAGGTATATAGGAAATAGTTTGAACTACTCCAACCCAAACTATATCCAAGAATACTGCATATGCATTATTTGTGCTACACTCAGCGTAACTACAACTTCCATATCCCTACAGATTCTCCTCAAGTTTTCCCAATTGTCCCCAGTTAATCTACTACGTAAGATAGTCAAGCAGCTACTATAGCATTCTGTCAAATGCCGTTCTGCCTTTTCATCGCATTTCAGTAACACAACATGGCCTGGAGTTACATCACCTCGTTTGGGTCCTCCAAACAGTCCAGCTGCAAGTAAAGGAGAGCTCCACATGGACTACTTTATTTTGCTGAGCTAGCAATTATTAAACAGTCAATTGAGTCAGCTGACAAAGAAGATAAATCTGCCCCTGCTTCTGTGACTGGACTGCTCCTAAAGCCCAAGATGGCCTGGATACACCTATACTGTACAGGAGTGTCAGCGTGCCATCTCACAACAACATCTTCTTTCAGTATTGGACAAAGGAGTTCAATTTCTTTGTTTCACGCAATGCTAATTTGTATACATTTGTTTTTAAAAATACATGCCTACACCCTTTTTGTTCAAAGCATCTATTCATTTTTACACAGATTTTTCACTGCCACAAACTTTTACTAAACTCTAATAGTCAGATATTCAATGAAACTGAGATATAGCTACAGTTCTGGCCTAAGCTTTACCTGATACAAAGAGACCTTTATAACAAGATATTCCATATTCCCTACATGAAGCTTCCAGATGTAACCACTCACCATTTGTGGCCATGTCTCAGCTTCTGGTTTTGAACATGTCCTTAAAACCACATTGTGTAATGAAATTTTAGGAGGATGTCAACACCAACAGCCTGATTCCACTTAGTTGAGAAAGAACTCAAAGCCTTTGTTTAGACTTTTAAATTAAAGAGTCCCTACCCAAGGTGAAAGTAAAATCTTTTGTCCTTTTTATACTACCCTTAAAATCTACACAAAGAGACACAGGAAGATTCTTTGAACTTTGCTGGTCCCTAGACACAACGTGGTGGGTTTCTCCAAAATGCTTCCACACAGACTTTGGTTAGAAGTCTACAAGCCTAAAAGCTTACACATTTTTTGGCACAACTGCACCAAAAATCACAGGTCTCTCTCAAGCCTTTGTGAGAATCTACACTGATCATTCCGAACACAGTATGCAAACACTACTGGACTTGGGCATCTGCATTTCTTATGACTAAATCTGAGTGCACAACAATCTGCTCTCACACCCTGCCTGAATCAAACTTATTGATGTATGAAGGATTAGTAGCACTCCCTCAAGGCAGGGTACCATTCAGAGCAAACAACATTCCTAAAATGCATTTCTGGGACGGCACCCTAACTTGCACCAAGAAAGAAGTTTTGGTGGACTTCCCCTATAGCCCCATCCTAATTTGCTTTTCTACTTGCCGGGTCTTAAAATGTTGCAGTTTCGCTGCAAATTTAACCATGAGTTCTATAGGATTGCTTTGACTTTGTACAATGATTCAACTTTGGAGAAAGGAAAAAAAAAACCCAAACACATCCCTCCCCAATTTTTTCTATTGACAGTCAAGGCAGACCAGTAAAAAAAAAAAAAATCTCACCATATATTATAGCAAAATTTTCTTTGTGTTTCAGGCTCTCATACACAACCAGTGAACTTCCTAAGTAATCATTTTTAATTGTTCTTGAAAAATTAAGTATCTACCAACTTACTTCCCCAAACAGGAATATCTTTGCTTTCTGCTTTCATCACAATGGAGGCAAAGGTCATAGTTACTGGAATGGCATCAAAGTAGGAAGAATGGGGAGCCACAGTTAATATTGCTGCTTCCGCCGGCAACGCCCGTCTGCCTTTTACATTTATCCAGTGGAATCCACCAGCAAGCCACATCATTCTCATGATTGCTTTCAGCAAAATATCCACTATCCTGTAAAGAGTTGAGAAAACAGTTACACTGCCACAGGAATACCTTAAAATACTGAAAAAAAAAACGTTAGTTAAAAACTTTATAAGCATGACAAAAGCATAGATAGGATACGCTGCTTAAACAGAGCAGGAACACTGCATAGACCTTTTGCTTTCTCTTTCTCTGCAGATTTAAGACCTCTTTAAAGGTAAGATGCCATTCAATTTCATTTCATGCCTGAATATTAATGCTTTTTAATGACAATAAAATTGGCATTTATTTTTATCATTAATTTTGATTCAGACTATGACTGTTGAGTTTCTCCTATACAATGTCTAATAACACTTTCGAGTAACACCGAAAAACCTCTAGTAAACTGAGTCCTGAAAAATGCTATTAGGATATTACTAGAATGCAACAACCCTGATTCTTGTGTTCAAGTTTACCCACACAAGACAGTGGAGAAGCATAGGGCAGAGATTCTCTAACACAGAGATGCCTACAGAACACATCTGTGAGCTTCGGAAACATTTTACTTTCTTCCATTTTCCCCATCTCCTCCTAAAGTGGGGTTTGTTTTTTTTTTTTTTGGCAGGGGGTGTGTGTGTGTGTGTTTGCTTGTTTTTTAAACTGACAGTCACAGAAAGAGAAACATTTACTTTGAACCAATAGAGTGCAAAAACCAAACCCTACAAGTTGTTACACCCACAGGGACTGGAGGCTGGAGAGCAGGGTGACACTGACAAGTGGACAAAACGGAAGAGGGACAATCTAAAAAGCTTCAAAATAACTGCATACAAGATTGAAGGCAGTCCATTATTCCCTTAGTCATTATACTGATATAATTCCAAATGAAATGTAAGGTGACATGCCTCTGTGGTTCTCAACCTCCTTCCCTCCTGTGATGCAAAATACAATCAGCTCCCCTCATGCTAGTGCCAGCTCCTAATTTTGAACTTCTCTACAGAAGAGGTGTTACACTCCTCCTTCCTTGCTCCTCAAACGGCAGTTTTCATGGATGGGTGAACACTATCTTACATTCTACCTCAATTAGCATTCCAATATCAAAGCAAGCACAGACTTATTAACAAGCACCAAAGCACGGGGCAAGTCCTCAGAGAATCAACAGAAGTTTTTTCAATTCATCACAGGGTAGCAAACAATGGGGTGAAGCAGTTCAAAACAACAACTTAGAACATGAAATCTGGGCACATTCTGCAGTGTCAATCTTCATAACAAGAAGCTGACATTATGGGAATAATTGAAATTGAAGGACGTCACAATGAAGCTTCACAATACATCCTCAATAAAGATAAGAGGCCAGAGATGATAAATTTTTCTCCCTGTAATTCTTGGGTCACCTGGTAAATCAAACAGTGGAGGTATTTTTAGTTTCCCATCTGAGGAAAGCGTTTAAATAATAATTTTTATGTTTTTCTTTTGAAGAGAAAGGCAGGTCTATGGGACAGATATCAGGTATTTCCAATCTTCTCTACTTCAAACTGCTGAACTAAACAATGATTCTGTCAGTATTTCACCACATCAGTGACTCACTTTCGCCACCAGGAGAGGGGCTTTTCAAGCTCTTGCTCGTCAGATCCCATTGAAGCAATGAATGCAAAAGGCCAGGCCAGCAACATCATAAAAGCAGCAAAAAAGAGTCGGATAGGAAACAGAGTCAAGGTCATGAAGGCAATCTGCAAAATCCAAAACATATGCGTTATTCTAACACAATCTTGGACTGAAAAAGTCAGTGATACCTAGAAACTGATGTAAAGTCTTAACTTAAAAATATCTAATGTTAAAAATAGCAGAATACACTTCAATTCCAAACAAATAATTGTGGTGTATGCTGTTGTGGTTTAACCCCAGCCACCAACTAAGCACCACACAGCCACTCACTCACTTTCCCCCTGGTGAGATGGGGGAGAGAATTGGAAGGGTAAAAGCGAGAAAACTCATCGGTTGAGATAACGACAGTTTCATAGGTAAAGCAAAAGCCACGCACGCAAGCAAAGCAAAACAAGGAAGTCATTCACTGCTTTCCATGGGCAGGCACATGGTCAGCCATGTCCAGGAAAGCAGGGCTCCATCATGCGTAATGGTTACTTGGGAAGACAAAACGCCGTAACTTCAAACATCCCTCGCTCAGCATGACGTCATATGGTATGGAATATCCCTTTGGTCAATTAGGGTCAGCTGTCCTGCCTGTGTCCCCTCTCAACTTCTTGTGCACCCCCAGCCTACTCACTGGTGGGGCAGGGTGAGAAGCAGCAAAGGCCTTGACTCTGTGTAAGCACTGCTCAGTAGTAACTAAAACATCCCTGTGTTATCAACACTGTTTTCAGCACAAATCCAAAACATAACCCCATACTAGCTACTATGAAGAAAATTAAGCCTATCCCAGCCAAAACCAGCACACATGCGTAACAATTTTGTATTCACCAATCTCAATTAGAGCTGAAACACAGCACGCTCTTTAAAGCTAATGCAGTCTTAGCCTTCCACGCTTCTTCAGACCCTATGTTTGTCAGTAAATACATCCGCATGCTCTTTTCCCTTTCTGCAGCCTCACATTAAGTAAATATTTAGCATGGGTGTATTGTAAATCTTACTGCACTACAGAGAAGTCAGCCTGTCACAGCAGCTCCCAGACAGAGATGTGCACTTCTTCAGCAGGGCGCATTCACATGGCAATACAGGGCCCAACCTGGAAAGCTCTTCCAGGACGGGGCAGGCACCAGTTCCTCTGCTGTATGTTCTTGGAACTAGAAGCTATAGGGAACCGCAGCGGGGAACACTGTGCAAAGACAGTTTGTCTGGACAAACATCCAGGCACGGATATGAGTTTATGTTCCAGGCCTGTGCTAACAGGCACAGTCCCCTGGAAGACAGAGGTTTTCAGCAAGTTATCCTTCCCTGGGAAGCCACGGTGAACCTGGCTGCTTCTGCATCTCCTCCCAGCACTCTGGTTCTCAGAGAGCCCATTCCCAGCCAGCCAGCCCTTTGCCTTCAACTTCGGCGAAAAACACGTCATGTTGGAACTTCTCCCACAGTAGGGCCTTTCCTGAGCTGTCTGGAGTTGTTCCCAACTGTCCTCCAGAAAACACAACTTAGCAACTATCTGTGAAATGATCCACTTGCTCCAGGAAACAGTTCCAGAAGCCAAGAATCCCAACTTTCTCACTCAAAGGACAGGAAGAAAGAAAAAAAGCTCTTGAAGTAGAGGAGGGTACAGCTTCAGATGACTGGCTAAGGGAGAGAGGGAGAACTGAAAACTGTTTGAAGCTGACTGGGGTAGCACCAATGCTCCTCAAGCTGTACAATGGAGGCTAGCAGAAGATGAAGACGATGCTATAAAATAGAAGGGCCATGTAAAGAAAGAGAATTCAAAAGGAAATATGCTCCATATTCACAGGTGCACCAGATGAGGTAGAAAAGTACTTTTCAGCATCACAATGGCTTGGGCAAGGATGAGTAATGAGGCATACGGTGCTGTCTCATGTTGTGCTTAATCTGATGCATCTCCAGGCTGCTGTGGAAAACATTATTCATATTCTTCTCTTCCCTGATGCAGATCTAGTCATCTTGCAGCTCAGTTTTCCATTGATCAGTTCCTGCTTCCTCTCACTTCCCAAAACAGCTCAATAACCGATACACCCTGTAGCTGCACAAATCTATAGATCTAGGGTAGAGGCAGGGAACACACAGCAGGAGAAAAGCCTAAGCTACCAGCCCACTGCAATGCCAGATTTTATAGTGATGGTTCAGACTGGCACCATGATCTCATAACGACCATGGCCTCACTCCCCAAAACAGGATCCCAGTTCCTGGCTGGACTGCTTTAGTTTGCAGAATTGGAAGAAAAAGGATTTTTTTTCTTAGATGGGCTGGTTTCCCAGATGACCCAGTTCAACTTCCTAAACTGGCAATGGTCAGATGAGTACTGAAGTCACACCAACTCATGCAACTCTGCATCCATAGACAAGACCACCACGTCTGGCAGCAAATAGGGGAGCATTCATCTGCAAACTGGAGAAGAGAGAGCAGCTGCCTTCTAGGCTCGTAAGATATCAAGGACCAGCTGTCAAGAAAAAAGGGAAACAAAATGCAGGTGAGGACACAGTCCTCTGGGATTCACACCCTCTCCCCCCCACTCCTCAAAGTCGTCTCCTATACCAGGGCAAAGCTGAATGGCAGGTGACTAGTGGTGAGCTATTCAGTCCTTTGCATCTCTGTAGCAATCCTTTGTATCAACATCGCTTTAGAGCCACATCGCAGAATGGAAGCAGTAGTTGCATCCGTAAGGTAGTGAAAGATGGCCTAAGTGTGTAGAAAAGGCCTCTTGGTCTTCTGTGTCCAGATCCAGCAGTGGTGGAAATGGCCAGTGAGAAGCAGTTCCACGTACACAGGTGTATGGGGTCTGGCTGTGACACCAGCCTCTTTTTTAGCAGGTGGTAGCGTAGTACCTGTCCACACAAGAAATTTGGCAGGAGAATGAAGAAGTATGTTTGGCCCCTGAAGGAGGTTAGGAATCAACAAAGACACTAACATTTGAAAAGTAGTTCAAGTCTACATCTGCATTCAGACACCCTCCTGGGTAAGAAAACTTCTATACCGTAAAACCTACGTACAGTAGTAGTGTCAGACAGAAAAAGGGACAAGATCCTGTCCCCACTGGCCATCAGAATGCAGGAGACATACATTCCCAGTCTGACCTTGTACAGACATCTTATTTTGGTGATTGTATTTCTACACATTGAGGACATTCACCCAGACGTTTTCTATTAAAATTATGAATTCTATCTGGTAATAAGTCATATGTAAACACCCGTGTTCTGAGATACATTTAAAAAACCCTAAAGGTCCATCTGGAGCTGTACCTTGGGAGGTTCAGCTCATGACTGATTTCCTCAAGAGGGGTTTGACTACAGCTCATTTCACATTTGCTGTCTACACAACCCTACTTAAGTTTTTCAGAAGT